GGTGTAGATTTGATTTGGCTTTTACCCCAAAAAAATACACTTCTATCCCCAATCATTACTTTATTCCGCGTACTGGGTTTACTACGTATTTAGGCACAATTTATTTGGCTGTCGGTACCTGACTGTCCTCGTCTTCGCTACTACCTGCGAGGGATCAAGTCATCCCCGGACCCCCGTGCTTCGCCTTCCCTTTAGCAGATGATAACGATATCATTTCACCCTCCTGAGAGGGAATTATGGGTAGTCACAGCGGCGCCGCTAACATGTATATTATAGTTGGACCAGCGAAAGATTGCAAGCCGAAAGAATGCGGACAAAAAATTGCGAAGTTGTCAGATGTTCTACATAAAATGCGGTCCATACATATTAACATATTTAAGATATAGAATTGTTCCGCTGAATTTGGCAATGTAGCTGGAAAACCCAGGCCGCAGGTAAACATCCGGTCGCTGATTGGTCCAAAACTCTTATCTTATCTGAAACTAGAATAACGTGCCGATGGCACGGTCATTTATAAACCTACTCCCATAGGCGTAGGCAGTTGGCAAATACTTTGAAAATATAATTTACTGTTTAGTGGTGATAATGGAATTCAAGCATGGGAAAGTTATTCACAGCCAGGCAAGGGAAATAATAGCAAACGTGATACGTGCTTGCGATGCAGAAGCGGCTAACAATACTTTCGTTTATCCACTGGTAGCTAGAAATGCAAGGGCGGCATATTATACGGGTGTTAGTGAACGAACTATAAGTAAAATTAGAAAAGAAGATAAAGACAGGCAAAATGCAACCTCCACACAGCCTTTAGCTTCTCCCGGAAAAAAGAGATCACGCCCTTCTGTGATCCAAAAAATTGATGGAGTCGATTTTTCCATTATTCGGAGAATGATAGAAAAATTTTACTGTGATTTTAAAGTGGTACCTACTTGTAGTAAACTTCTAATCAAACTGAAGGAAGAAATGGAATTTCCATTTGGTAAAGAATCGTTGAGGCTGCTTTTAAAAGCAAAAGGATTTTACTGGCGTAAATGCCACAACAAAAGGAAATTACTAATGGAAAGACCCAGTATTTTACATTGGCGATACAAGTATCTTAGGTCTATTAAAAAGTTCCGGGAAGAAGGAAGGCATATTATTTATTTGGACGAAACTTGGGTTGATAATGACCTCACTTTCAAGAAATGCTGGCAAAGCGAAGAAATTATGGGTGTCCTGAGCAATATAAGTTCTACAGGTAATAAAGTTTCTTTCACCTCGATTTTGCTTATTATACATTTTTCTCAATTTTGGAATATTCTTAATAAGTGCTCATTTAATTTGTCTAATTGAATACATAATCCCTTGCAAGTATTTTTTTCTCAAAAATATGTTTTTTATACATAGTGATTCAAAAAGGTGTTGGCAAACTTAAAATAACACTAAAATGAGGCTATTTATTCATTTCCAGGACGACTTATAATTGTTCATGCGGGTTCGCAAGATGGTTTTGTTCCTGGAGCCTGTCTCATTTTCAAGGCTGGCTGTGCCACTGGTGATTATCACGGTCAAATGAACCAAGAAAATTTCACGAAGTGGCTTACTGAAAAACTATTTCCTAACATTCCTCCTAATAGTATTATAATAATGGATAATGCACCTTACCATTCAGCTTTGGAAGACAAGCCTCCAACTAGATCTTCTCTAAAAAGAGACATCATCACGTGGTTGAGCAAAAAAGGTATAGAGCATGATCCTAATGCTAAAAAAATGGAGCTTTATGAAATAGCTTGTCTACATAGGCCACCATCTGATGAGAAAAATTATAAGATAGATAATTTAATAAGAAGTTTCGGACACACCCCACTTCGAACGCCACCCTATATGTGTCAGTTTAATCCCATAGAGATGATTTGGGCACAAGTAAAATTTTTCATTAGAAGCCATAATACAAGCGGCGAATTTACTATAAAAAAACTAGATGAAATTTCTAATAAGGCCATCGCTTCAGTAAGTGCCAGTGACTGGCAAAAGGTTATTGGACATGTTATAAAAATTGAAGATGAATATTGGGAAAAAGACAGTCTCATTCAAGAAATACAGGAAGAAATAATAATCAACATAGGAGGTGAAAGTGATAGCAATGACAGTTCCTCAGACAGTGATCATGACTCTAATCAGGATTGAAACTATACTAGATTGGCTACCTTTTAGAATTTTTAGATATTCATTTATTATACTATTGGTTTGTGGCTTTTAGTATCTCAGTAGAAAGTCTAATTCTATGTGTTGTTTATGGGTTATTTCATCAAGAAATTACTTTTTGTTTTCCTATATTTTTCTATTCAGTCAGATATTTTTGACTTGTTGTATTCTATTTTAGAAGAATGCATAATTTGTTTTGCTGTTCAATCATAATGCGTACATAGGAATATTACTTGTTGCCTAAAAAATATATTTATTTTGTTCTCAATATTCAGTGTTTGTGTATATTTATTTCTTATAATGTATGTTTGGTATCACGTCATTATGAATCGCAAAAAAATATTAATACTACCAGTTGTAATAAAATATAAATTCAATTAATAATTCAAGTCTCTCCGATCTCCGCCTATGACTCCATATAAAATCGTCTAATGGTAAGGTTTTTTCATCGCATTTCCCCCTTTCGTCCCTAGCAATCTTTGGCTGGTCGATCTTTACAATTCAAAGTGAAATTATCTCTGTTAATGTACGTATATATTGCCATTTCATAAAGAAACAACGAGGACAGTGTTAGAATTTATAATTTCGGGAACAAGTTTCTGCAACTGAATATACTGTCAACACCTGCTTTGCACCTTATTCTCTTTTGACTTCGATATCCCTTAGAAGCATTCACCGAGGAACCCCAGAAACACAATGCATAGAGCATTCGCGACTCGATATGACTTTGATATAACATCAATAATTGGTCACGTGTAAAAACTGTTCGCAGACAGGTAGTCACAATGTCCTTTAAAATTGAGGCACTCATCCAGGTGCAGTCCCAAGAATGTTGTGCTCTCACTGTTGGGCAGTGCTGAACTATCTAATGTAAGCTACAGGCGAGGCATTGATTTTCGGGCATTGTGGAATCTTATTGCTGTTTTTTTCACAGTTTAGATGCAGCTGGTTCTCCACGAACCAGCTATTGATGCTATGTAACAAGCGATTACAGTTGTTAATTAGGATAACGTCATCTTTATTTCATAGAATAATCAATGTGTCGTCCGCGTATAAGATAAAGTGTGCTCTGGGGAAGGACCGCTCAAGGGTATTTACATATAATGCAAACAGAACAGGCCCCAACACACATATCCTTGTCCACTAGACCTGACTTGCATTAGTTGTCCTGAGCAGTTATGAGTTATTGTCACATACTGCGATCTATTTTCTAAGTAGCGTTTTATCCAGAGGTATGCTGGTCCACCGATTCCATAACTTGCCAGTTTTATTAATAACAGATCATGGTTGACACAGTCGAATGCCCTGCTTAGATCACAGAAGATACCAACAGGGCACTCTCCTGCCTCAATGTACTGAGCTAGCGTATTGAAGAAAGAATGAGATGTTGTTAGTGTTGACCTACCGTTACGGAAACCATGTTGGTTGGATGTTAGTACCTCATGTCTTTCAAGGAACAGCGTCAACCGACTGAAGAAACAGCATCCGAAAATTTTGGAAAAACAACAGGGGGACGTCACCGGTCTGTAATTTTTTGCGTTAATAGTTTCTCCCTTCTTATGTATGGGACTTACTTTTCCCATTTTTAAGCTATCTGGAAAAGAGCCAGTACAGAAAGACAAATTGATCAGAAAAACAAAGGGCTTAACAATATATACCAAAACGTTCTTAACCAGGTAATTAGGAATTTCGTCAGCACCTGAGGAACGCTTGTTTTTTAACCTTTTTTCGATCAGATTAAAGAATTCTTCTTCCGTAAATGGGTATAGATACATGTTTCCCTAACCGCATCGTTGTAGTTAGGAACTGTTGTCAATATTTCTGTTAAAGTGATCGGCTATTTCCTGAGGATCAGTGATAGTTTGCCAAATTTCGCCCAGTACAAAGTTTTTTGTTGTTTTATTTTTACCACTCAGTTCACCTACTACATTCCAGGCAGATTTGACTGTATTATGTGAGCTCAAAATAGTTTTTTGGTAATAGGCCCTTTTTGTTTCTCTAATCAGTCTTTGATGCTGTTTTTTGGTCTCCAGATATTTATGCTTATTTTCGGGAAAAATCGTTGACAGTACATGCTGTTCCCGCAAATGTGAACTAGATCTTTTAACCTCTTCACTCACCCATACCTTTTTATTGTTTATACTTATTGCTCGTCTTTTTGTCAGAAAATGTTTTTGTAAGAAATAATTGAATGGGCTGTTGATATCCGGCAAATTATACAATGTGGACCAATTTTCATTGCTTAGGTCTACTGCAAAATTTTGTATAGAGTGGGAGTTAAAAACCTTCCTTAGTGTGTATGTTGTCCTATTACTACCTGCCGTATGTTTCATCATTTCCAAGAGTAATGTCTTGTGATCCGATAAAACGTTGTCCACTACACAGTTCAGACATCTATCATCGAAATTAGTGAAAACCTGGTCAATCGTTGTGAGAGAAGTCTTACCAACTCTAGTAGGCCATCCTACCTCTGGATGCAATCCAAATACAGATAGGACGTTTATTAAATTGTCACTGTCAGCGTTATGATTGCGCAAGTCTATACTGAAATCCCCGCAAAGAACGATATTAATGTTTGGTTTGTAAATAAAATTGATTTAGAACCCTATTCAAATTTTTTTAGAATATTTTCATGTCCCCTGAGGGAGATATGTAGCACAAAATAAGGATGCTTTGCATTCCACGATCAGAGTACTGTATTGCGCAAAAATGTGTTTTTCAATCAAAAATTGAGAAATATAAGATTTTGCCATAACCTGTTGCTCACAGTATATAGCTACACCACTGCCCTTGTACTATGTTATGCAGAAAGAACTTACCAACTGAACATTATTTATAACAATATTATCAATCGATTCAACTGTAGACCACGTTTCAGTTAAACAGAGGAATTTCACCCCGTCATAGTCTGATAACATAAGGTGTAGCTCATCAGCTTTGTCAAAATTTAGACACTGAACATTTAAAAGTACTAAACTAGTCTGGAAAGCTAAGTTGATATTTGTGAATTCCTTCTTTTTGGTAAAAAACGGTTAATGCACGTATTCTATGGCCACATTGAAACGTCTAGTGCTTTTTTAAAATTTGATTGTAGAATCGTTATTTTGGAAGAGGAATAAATATCAGGATGTTTCGAAGTGATACTTTCAACAGTGGCCTCCGGAAAAATGTTCTTCACCATGTCTTCCACATCACTCAGTTTAGTTTTTGGGTGAACACGGCTAACATGTAAGGATACAGTTCTTTCGACACCTTTAACTGGACCATCAAAGGGACCATTCCCAATAACCAAGTTACTCGGGTTGTTTCTTTTGCGCTTTCCTTCAACCAAATGCTAGTGACTACCACTACCACTACTTGCATCGTCCTCGGCTGCATACTCAGCGGACGGCTGAGGTAGCGCTGGAGCAGAGGTACTATTCGCTGACTGCGCTTGCTCGACAGCAAGTGCCACCTGCTGCCTAGTTATCGTGCTACTCGCGTTTCTAGAAACGCTTGCTGTGGCTGACTATTTTGAGATAGACGTATTCTTCATCCTTTAGCAGATTTTGTGTGGATAACATCAGTCAGTAGACCATTCTCCTTACGTGGAGATACCATAGTTTGTTTGTTAATTTGGGCAACAGATGAGGATGAACGATCCAACATTTTTGAGAGTGCAGATATTTGATCAAGCAGGCTTTTTGTAGTTTGCTCTTGCGGTTTTATTATATAATTTTTGTATCTTATTATTTCTCTTAAATACAAATTATTCTTTTCACTCACATAAGCTTCAAAAATCTCTTTTAGGCTACAAAAAGATATGTCGCTGTCTTCTCCAAATTCATTCTCGGTTGTTTTTAGTGTTCTTCTGCAAATTTTTCATATATTTAACATAAGCTGGATGGATTACAGTCTTGCAGGTCACACATTGTGGTCCACTTTTTGCGACTACACCACAACGTTTGCAACATCTTGCATCAGACACAACACACCGTTTTTCACTCGACGGCATGTTGTTACATTAGTAGCACGGTTCTTGGTTTGCGAACATCTAGTCTGCAAAGTGTTTAACTTTTATTAATGCAAGTATTGGTGCTAAACAAAAAATTCCAGGATCCCTTTCGCAAATTGAAGTTTGAACCCAGCCATAAACTTCTTAGCTTTGTCTAGAGATAATACACTTTCGACTTCATCAGCAGAAAGGCATCACACAAAAGCTTCATAATGGCTACTGGCATTGAAGGATGGAAGAGTACCAAAGCAGTACGCTATAAATAATATTTTCCACTCGATATGTTATGCATATGCTATAAATCTAAATCATTTGTACACACCTTTGATACTATTTTATGTATTTTCCATATACATGTCTATGTATATGTTAGCCTTACAGGCGCGGGATCAGAATTTTTGTGTGTTATTGTGAAAGGAGGAATTAACTCTTAACATATTTTCACACTTGATACATAAATAGTATCCACAATAAAATGTTTTTTGACTGACAGAGAAGTCAGTTGGCATAAATATTTCAACTTGTTCAAATTCTATCAATAATGAATGTCCGCTCGCCTTTTTGTCAGTCTAATTTTGTCTAATTTTCTATAGGCGGCTAGATGGTGCGGTGATCGTCCACGACAACTTTTTTATATATTAATCAATTTACTAATTGCGGTCTTAGTCATGGTAGGATCGTAATAAAAATGGCGTCGAGTAGATTGACTTCACTTGCTACGCAACGCCATCATCAGTTCATAAAGGATTAATTTCAGCACAAATTAAACCCCCTGAGAAAAAATGAGTTGCGAACATATACAACAGTAAGATTAAACGGATCAAGTTGGTCAAACAAGGCCATACAATTAGTTCATAGACATTCTTTCTCTGCCCTAACGGTAGTTAGCGTCCATCTGACGCCGCTGAGCCCACAACGGCGCCGCTGAGTACGGGCAGAGAAGTCAATTAAACCAGTGCACCGGGCGGTGAGCCCTGAGTAGGGCATGCAATTATCCAACTCTTCCAAGAATCTGTTAAAGAAGTTATCGTTTTTTTATTTTGATAAAAACCGATAATTATCGGTTTTCTTTAAAAACTGATTTTTACGTATGGTGTAGAGAAAAGGGTTCCATTTAATACGAAAAATAAACCATTCATTATTTTCTTATTCATGTTTGTGAGTAGGTGGGCTAAACAAACCAACCACTCCAATACTTCTTCCTCTATCAGTTTTAAATTAAATAAAATATTCTCAACAAAATAATCAAAACTTAAGTAGTTGCTTATGATTGTTAAACTCTTTAATATAATTCTAAAATTAATAGTAATAGATTTTAATTGTAATTTTTACTTCACACTCCTGCTGGCGGGGAAGTATTAAAATCGCGAAAACTCTCGAAGATCAGATATTATGTTTCTTGGATGATATTATATGACATGTACATCTCTCATTTCCGTCAGTCTGCCTGTCTGTCGGTCTGTTCGCTAATGTTATAACTGCCTATAATTTGAGACGCATCGCTCAGATTTCGAAACTCTTACACAATGTTACTATTATGCTATCGGTCCGATGGCGGCAAAGGAAAGAGCCAAACAGGAAACATAATGAAAATCGCTCAAATTTCGTTTTTTGACGCTTCAGAGACTTTTAGAGGTAAAAATATTTGGGGGTGAGGTTTTAGGGAGGTGGGATAGTAATTTTTTGATGTTAGTACATTTATACGCTGCCAACCTTGTTAATTCTACGCTCTTTCTCAGGGGAAAGGGGTGGCTTCCAGTAAAATCGGATACGAAACAGCTACAAAGCTGGAGGAGTTCGAATTGTGGTTTTTCTCAATGCCTTCCCATGGTGAAGAGGCAAAAATCCCATAAAAGTGGAGAGGGTAGCACCCAAACCAAAACAAATAAACGTAAGGTAGATACAAGAAAGGATGCTACCCCATAAAATGGTGATTGGGGCCAAATATCCCAAAATCTGGAAATCAATCAAACGACCGATACAACATCAACTCAACAGGAAAAATGACTGACACGAAACACCTAACTCTATAAAAGAAAGTTAAATGAGTGGCCATAAATATATGTTTGCTGGAAACCAAATATTCTTATATAGGTTTGTACGGAGAAAAACCACACAGTGACGCTGACTTTTTTTTATACTCCAGCCACCACGAAGGCCTAAGGCCTAAACACCTATGGGGTACCGTGGGACTATAGGGGGATACTGGGGAAAAGGGAGGACGCCACTCGGACTCTAGCGAGGGAACACGTGTGCATGCACACATTCTGGCCCCGCCTACTAGATCCGCCGAGTGGTACCTCCGCGTGCGACAGTCAGAGACAGTCTACCACCTACGGACAATCACAACATCCATAGGCAAGATAAATTTTTTTCTTGGGACGGGATTCAAACCTTCGCAGCGCACGGCGACTGATTGGGAGACGAAGCGTCTACCACTGCGGCAACCGCTGCTGCTAGAAAACCAACTCTACGAGGCACCAACGATATTTTATGAGGAAATTTCTGATATAGACAGTCATTAATCAAATATTATAACATTAGTGTCCAAAATACAATACTGAGTCGCTAAGAGAGAAAGGTATACTATGTGTGATAAATAAATAATGAAAAAAATCATTGAAAAGGGCCTAGGAATCGGTACTCTACCATTAATAAAGATAAATTCAAATTACTGGTTATGTAAAAAAGGTCACGTGATTGTGGCACGTTACATCCTATTACCGGCTGCTGCTCCCAGCGATGTGCTACAGGGCTTGTTGAGTGTTCTGTTGTTCTGGTATGGTATTTCTGCCGCGCCAAAGCATAGTGTCTCCTATGCTCCAATCGCGATTCCACGTCTGACCGGGTTAAGTATCGAGTAGAGGAGACGTTTTCGGATGCACTTGCAGTATATGGCAGGCAAAGAATGTGTGCGGACTAATTGTATGGGCGTGTTTCACTGACTTTCTTCTCAGAGGGGTCTAGTTTGTGCTGAATATATTCCTATGTATGTATGTACTGATAACGGCGTTGCGTGGCAAGTGCAGAGACGACCTACTTGACGCTATTTTTTATTACAAGGGACCAACTACAGTAGCGAGTGACGCTGCACGCACATTACAATGAACAAAGGAAAAACAGAAAGTGAGGCGTGGAGTGCATTGTATCGTCCTGAAATTTTGAAATTTGGATAAATGACAGTGGTCGTTGAAAATTATTTTTTTTTATCGATAATCGATATTTGTCGTTTTTCTTTCGATATAGATAGCCTTTTAAAATTAATGGATAATCGATAAATGATCTATCGAAAACATTTCTCTATCGTTGTTTTAAAGGCAAATGCACCGGGAAACCTATGATGTGTGAAATATGGCTAATAGGTGCGCGCAGGATAACAGGAGTTGGGATTGTGTAAATATACCAGCTAACCTCCAATTTTTAACCACTACAAAAAATTTCTAATTATGACCAAGACCCTCTGAAATATAAAAAAGCGAAGTTTGAGGTATTTCATTTTTTTTCGTGTTTTCACTAGCTCCACCGCCACTAAACTAATTTTTAAAAACTATAAACCTTTGTCGTCCTTGGCATTAAATCCAAGCGGTGCTTTCAAAGTTACGTATATAGACGGGCCAACGATTAGCACACAGACAGTCACCCAAAAAAACATCCCATTGTTGGGATTACAATACCTACTTTCTTGCCCAGTAGCGTAAAAGGCTACACAACGTTCATATAAAACAATAATTTCCCTAGATTGAGAGATAATACTAAAATCTATTTGATGGTCAAAAACAATTGAGGGGTTTGGAGTATTCTTAGTTAAAAATACGCATTTTGCAGTGTTGGTAGTGTTATAATAATAAACAAAATGAGTACTGATTGGGAACGCAAGGTATCTCTCAGGAGAATTAAGTATCAATAAGATGTACGAATTATATCAAGAGAGGCATATTTTCAATACGGAATTCAATTTAAGATTCCACAAGCTCTATAGTGATACCTGCAGTCGTTGTGACAATTTTCAAAATTTAAGAAAAAATTCAACAAATGAAGACGTGATTAAAAATGCCAAGCAAGACCTCGAGCTGCATCAAAGAAAGGCCCAGAACGCAACAGATGCCAAAAAAGCTGATATTGCTGAAAATAAAAATGATTCTAAAAATACGGCAGTAATTTGTTTTGATTTGCAACAGGCATTGCCGACGCCATTGTTAACCACCTCTAAAGTATTTTATCTTCGTCAGTTATGGACGTATAATTTCTGTGCATTTGACTTACTGACTGAAAAAAGTTATATGTATGTATGGAATGAAACTATTGCATCCAGGGGCTCACAGGAGATAGGATCATGTTTAATAAAATTTGTACAAAGCCTTCCATCTACAGTTACGAAGATTATTGCATACAGTGATTCGTGTGGAGGACAAAATAAGAATAAAAACATTGCTAAACTATTTAGAGTTATTGTTCTAGCTACAGATATATCTGAGATTCATCACAAGTTCCTTGAACCCGGGCACACTTACATGGAATGTGACCGTAGTTTTGGCTTAATCGAGAAGAAAAAAGGCAATTCCCTCAAGTTTTTGTCCCCGCAGATTGGGAGACTGTAATAAGAGGCACATCGGCCAAATTGTGTACAATATGAACAAAGACGATTTTTACTCTTTTTCGCCGTTCAATGAAATTATGAACGATCCAAAAAAAAAATAGTGACTAACATTTCGATACAAGAGTACCCTAAACATTGATGTAGAGTTTAGCAGTTGCTTAATGGCAACCTCAAAAGTTGGGCGTCCGTGTTTTAACTTTTCAATACTAAAGCCTTTGAATGGCACTTCAATAAAGATTAAAGTCGCCAAGTACAAAAACTTGCTTAGCTTATTGCAATACATTCCGCCCATTCACCATACATTTTATAAAAACATGAAGCATTAACAAAAAAAGGAAAAAAGAAACGAACACAGACCCTGACATCAAGCCAAAAAGTACCTCATATAGATGAACCCCAACCAAGACCAGGTGATTCAGATGAAGAAAATTATGAAGACATCCAAATATTAGATTCTGATTATGAATAAAAAATTTTGTTATAGATTATTTTTAAATAATGTTTGGTTTAGTACGGTAGTTGCACTTGAATCATGTTACCACCATAATTTTTGTAATATGTATAATGATTCAAGTACATTTTTGCAAAAATGACAATAAAAAAGCAAATTTAAGAAAATGTTTTTTGTTTGTAATGTTTTATTGGCATTTAAATAAACTTAATATAGTATCATACTTTGATAAATTTATTCCTGGAATTTTCAAATTCAAGTAAACTTTGAAGCCATTTATCTCAGAACTACTAAAAATGTACTTAAACCCATTTGCATCAGCGTATTTTCATCTTATTTTTCCATATAGTTGCTTCTATCCTTTAATTTGCTTGCAGTGATATTCTGGAGAACGGAATCCCGACCCTGTTCATTTTGAACCTTGAAAGAAATGATTATGCACAATATCATCACAATAAGGTGATTGTAATTATTATTCTTGACGAAAATAAAAAAATATTCTCATACATTGAACTATTGTGGGATTAAACCAAATCCAGAAACAAACACAATTAAGACAAAAATAGCTCATTATATTCCAAATTAGCATAATAAGTCAAAGCAAACAAGATTTTAGAGAATCAACAACCTCTGAAATCGCGCATAACTCCAATATAAAAGGAAGCTTGTGTAACCCAAGCTATCTATAGTAGCATCAAAGAGACTATTGCACCAAGACTTCGCTCCACTGCGACGAAAGTGACTCCTACATCAGAAAATTCAAGAACGTCCCAGGATGGAAAATGAAGACAGAAAATTGGACACAAACAAACTGGACCTTCATATCCAAGTGGTGGAATCACAGGTAACTGAGGAGGAGGTTATAGAAGAAATCGTGGACAGTGGCAAAGTCGAAGATGCCTTCTATGTGTGTGATGTCAGCGATATTGTGGAGAAGCACAGGCATTGGGAGCATGTGATGACTAGGATTCAACCATACTATGGTGAGTACTTTTCCATTTTTCCGATTGCTTCGATGTGAGTTACAGTTTTTTCAGTTTTATGGAGATGTTATACGATCGACAGTTTTTGATAATCAAAGAATCAAACGTTAACCCTATTTGACACTTATCACGCAAAAGATCTTCTGTGTCAAAAAAAAGCATTGCAAAGTGATCATAAAACGCAATATTTTAATGGATTGCACATTATTTTACTCTACACTTCTACTGTAGCTTTTTGTTTATTGTATAGAAAGAAGCGACTTCTTAAACTTCTCTTTTTTTTTCTTCCCGCACGGGTATTATGTGAAGATGCCTAGAAAACGTCAAAAAAATAACCGACGAAATGCCCTTTTGCAGACTATGCAATTTTTAGTGTGCAAATAGTTCATTCCACGTTTGCTTGCTATGATCGCTGTTCGCTGATGTTTAAGCAATACGTACAGTTAAAAAACGAGTTCACGACACGTGTACAGCAGCTTGTGCTAAATTCACATCTTGTCGGAAGCCCTCCGACCGTAATAAATTCAATTCTTCAATATTCCTTAATATCCCTTCATTTAAGTGAAATACGAGTATACGCCAATCTGTCAACCCGTATCCATATGAAATGAATTTTTGTACAAGTATAGCTATCGATGTTTCCATATTTTATACATCTACCAAAGGGGATATACAGGGTGTTGTATGTATGTAGGGGGGGGGGGGGGGGGCTTTGGTCAGAATTTCATTAGCCACATATTTTCTAAATTTGTATTACGTGATGCTTTATATCACCACCTTAGCTAGTTTTGCGAACTCAACTATTTTGTCCAGGATGGACTTTCTGTTTAAACTTAGCAACGATGACAATTGGATTGGAAGTGATATCTGATCCTCCAAAATTAATCTTTGTATTAAATTAGAAACATGAGGCTCATTTCCTGTGCATTCAAAGAAAATATGATTTAAATCTGCTACTTTGGTGTTGTCACACTCGCACCAGTTATTAGCAATGATTCCCATTCTGTAGAGGTGGTCTCCGAATCTACCATGATTTAGTCTCAATCTCGTTATTAGGGTAGAGTAAAATCTTCCGACTTGATAATCGAAAATGTGTGATGACCTGAATGGTAAAAAAGGATTGATTATTGCATACGGGTTTCTAGAATTACTACAATATACAAGGTGTTCATTTGAATACTTCCTACCACGGATTTAACGAAAACCACTGATTAAAAGAAAAAACGCAAAGACACGTCAAAAGATTTGGCAACTTTTTAACCTGAAACTACTTCACCCCCTTTCACCCTCGGCCCCCAGGGTCATTTCCTTAAAAATTTGAAATGAAAGGGGATCGAGAAATAGCTTGCTTTCGAAATTAGAAAAATCTTTATTATCTTAATTTGTTCAGATAGAAAAAAAAACGAAAATATCACTTTTTATTTCAATAAGTGTTCAAAATGCTGCCCGTTAGGGTTTGCCAAATTTACAATTCGTTTATAATTTTAAACGTAAACTACCAACATAAACAGCAATTCGGAAGATTAGACGTGGCAACAACCAAATAACAACCCGAATTTTTTTCCGCATTTTTTTCATCAACACATATCCTGGGCGAACTGTATTTATTGTTATACCTGTTTAGTTAATTGGTTTTGTTGCTAAAGGAAAGAAATAATTTAATTTGCAGTCAGTTAGCTTTGTGACAATCTTGGGATATTGAAAATTAATTTATTGATTCAGATTTTACTTCCAAAATGGATTACAAACTAGCCGAAAGAGTGGAAATGATTCCAATTTATGGTGTAAAAAACCAATGTGCTCGGCAAACTGCCGTCACGTTTAACGCCAGACATCCGGGGAAGATAACTTCGCATAGGTATGTTTTGGACCTTGTTACTAAATTTACTCAAACTGGATCTGTTGCAAATAAAAAACGTGATCATCGGAGAGTTTTGGATCAAGCCGCTCAAGTTGAGGTTTTGGGTCATATTGGAATAAATCCTAATACTTCATTAAGCAAAATATCACTGCGACTGGTATTCCATTGGGCTCTGTACACACAGCTACAAAACTCCATAAATGTCATCCATTCAAGATGAAAATATTGCAAGAGTTAGGCAAAGATGATTTTGATAGGCGAGATGAGTTTTGTTAACATATGACTGCAGCGATTAATGATAATACCATTCATGTAAAGAATAGATATATGCTTCAGTGGTGAATGCACATTTTATCTAAATGGACTTATTAATAAGCATAACTGCAGGTATTGGAGCAATGAAAATCCTCATGCTTTTGTAAAAGGGCATACCCGGTACCCCCAAAAAATTAATGTATCGGCAGGCATTTTAGGAAACAAAGTGATTGGACCATTGTTTATTAACGGAAATTTGAATGGAGACATTTATCTGGATATGTTGGAACATACCATCAATCCGCTTATCACTAAAAGGGCGTGAAGTAGTTTTTGGTTAAAAAGTTGTCCCCCTTGACAAATCTAAGGGTCTCAGCGTCTTTTTTTAAATCACTGGTTTTCGATAAATCCGTGGTGGGAAGTTTTCCAATGATAATAAAAGGAGTTCATGTTGCTCCATTTCAATTCGCCAGAAATTTAAAATTCTCGCAGAGTCGTACGAGCGTTTATAATATTATTTTTAGTGTATTGTCCAACCAACATCTTTAAGGAATGTAACATATTTTTGCTTCGAGCAGCAACACTACCATATAAGTTTTTAGAAACACGAATTTCACCTTCGCACGATTCTGATAATATAATATAATAATATATATAATATAATATATATTTATTTCCAACAGGTATACACCCAATCACAGGAAATCAAAACAAAATGGTACCATATATACACATATATACATACACATGTATATATACATACATATGTATACACACATACATATATACACATATACACACATATATATAGACAATGAATCAGAAAATAATAACAAAAAAAGAAAATAGAAAAACATTAGTGATCTGAATGAACACATAATACATAGGTGAATAATTAAACACTTCACAAAAAAAGAGAAGAAAAAAAAAATAAAAGTGCTCAAATTGAAGAATAACAATAACTGACACCATCAACAAAACGTTTTTATCTCAATTGCTCCCTGTAAATGTTTAATATTTTATTAAGACTGTCGTGACATACATCAGCTCTGTTACAGATTGAATTGAATAAGGTACACATTACCATTACTGGGGATCTGCATAAAATATTCGTCCGTGGTGTATCACAGTAAAATATGTTATTATGCCGACCAACTAATCTGGGAGCATGAAAATTAATCTTACTCAGTAGGAACCCACAATCAATATGATTATTCACTAACTTATAAAGGAAAGTGAGAGCTTGAGCGTCACGACGATTCCTTAGTGATTCAATGCCAAAAAACTCCAACAAAACGTCATGATCAAATCCTCTTTCTGGGTATCTACCACTGCACTTAAAATACCAATACTTTAGAGCTTTACGTTGTACAGCCTCCAGTTTACCAATTGCATTCTGATATAGGGGGGACCATACTAAGGACGCATACTCTAACTTAGTCCTGATAAATGAAAAATACAGTATTCTTAAACAGTCCACATTAGAGAAACCGGACCAGTTACGTACACAATAACCCATCAACCGTGATGCAGATGATACAATATCTGATATGTGATCGTTAAAAGTGAGTTTGTTATCGAACACTACTCCCAAGTCTTTAAAACTTGAATCTCTTCCTAAAACGCTTTCATTAAGGTTATAGTTGTATATGATGGGGTCCTGCTTCCGACTATACGACACCACTTTGCATTTTTTGACATTTAACGTTAGCAGATTTCTGTTGCACCATTCATATATGAAGTCAAGCTTGCTTTGCATCTCCTCACAGTCACTCGAAGAGTGAATTGGCGAAAATATCTTCAAGTCGTCAGCAAAAAGCAAGTGCATACAGGTTAGCTTCAAAGACAGATCGTTAATGAAAATAAGAAATAACAAGGGTCCTAGGTTCGAACCTTGTGGAACTCCAGATGTTGCTGTATAAATTTTGGACTTTTCTAGGTTTTTCATCTTTAAAATATACCATATATGTATATTTTTTGTCTTTCAGCTGTGAAATGTAATTCTCATCGAATAGTCCTCGAAACCTTGGCAGCCCTAGGCACATGCTTTGATTGTGCTTCCAAAGGAGAAATAAGAAGAGTTATCTCCCTAGGGGTATCGCCTGATAGAATTATTTATGCCCATCCCGCCAAAAAGATAAATCACTTGCTATATGCAGCCGAAGTGGGAGTTACTACCATGACATTTGATAACGAGTGTGAGATGTACAAGATTAAAAAGTATTACCCAGAGGCAAAGTAAGTACATCCAAGGCAAACATTTATGCTGTATGCATATTTAAACTGATTCATAAATGTAGTTTTGTAGCCGTAGAAAAATCATTGTGATGTCTGAAAAATTAGTGACACCTAGTTTGAATCAACTGCTGTGGGTTTAACTAGTGATTAACGTATACGAGCCCCTTCCCACTTCAGTTGGCCCACTTCAAGATTTGTACCAAAATATGACGAAACTATTTACTTCTAAAACAACTTATTTTCTCAAAAACATTTTAGATACACTCTAGTCGTAAAAAATAGATATTTGAAATCACTTATACCTATAACTAATAGAACATCTGAACAAATAAACAATGTGCGAATAAATGCGCGAAGTTAACAAAGCAACAATTGAAAGATTACCATTGGGTAACATCACCTTTATTTTTTATTACCGCTGAAATTCTTTGGCGCATAGTGTTAACCAAGTTTTGTCAAAAATTTGGTGTAAAACAATCATATTTCTTGAAGCTTTTGTCTCAGGTCGGTGATTGTACGAGCAGGATGTTGTCGTAGAACCTTTTTCATCTCGTGCCACAAAGTTTCAATAGGTGACAGATCTGGACTGCTAGAAACCAATCTCAAAAGTGGTACATTATTTTCTTCCATCCATTTTATAGCCTTTTTTGAGGTATGGCACGCTGCACCATCTTGCTGAAACACAAAATCTTGGCCGGATGTCAAACATTCTTCCATCACTGGTAAAAGCGATACTTCTAAAATTGCCAAATATTTGTTTGTACCCACATTTCCATCAATAAAATGAAGTTTTCCTACTCCTTTTGATGACATACTGCCCCAGACCATAATGGATGCTGGAAATTTCACTTTTCTCTTCAGACAGTCAACATGGAATGCTTCATTTTTTTGCCAATAACTCTACTGCGACTGTCACCAACACAAACTTCGAATCGGGCTTCATCACTTCATTGTATTGCACACCATTGTTGAGGTGTCCATTGTCTATGTTCTTTAGCCCATCTAAGCCGATTTTTCTTTTGCAGTGGAGTCAATAGTGGCTTTTATTTTTCCTATAAACAAGTTGTGCAACTTTAGGGTTTTTACTTCACTTTTTTTATAAGAAAACTTACCTTGCAAGTGTTAAATCCCAGTTTGTGGGCCTCTCTATGAGTTGTAGACCTCGAAATTCTCCTTCCAACATCGTCACTCCACAGAGCACTTAATTGTAAACAATTGGCACGCCTGTTTTTCACGATTATTCTTCTTAATGCTCTTCGGTCGGCATTTGTGATATTACTTTTTTTCACATATCGTGGCTTAATATTAACTGAACCAGTTACGTTATATCTTCTAACAAGATTTCTCACGATAAGTCTAACAAAGTTGCAATTAATAAGTTTGATTTCCCAAAATTAAAAAAATTAATTATCAGTAACCGAATTGTCTCACTAATAACCTTTCCTCTACCCATTTTGAAAACATTAACTACCCAAAACTATTTTAAACGTATTCTGACAGCTGTGATTAATAAAAGCAATTGTCGTGGCTTTTATTTTTTACAGCTACCTATGCGTTACAGACTTGGGTTGATATGCTGTAATTGCAACATGTTTCATTTTTATGCTGCAAATTTGATTAGGGAGTGAAAGTTGGTGTTTTCTACTATACATATATTATCAAAATATTCATTGTTAATATTTTAAACCTATAACACCCTGCTACATTTTTATTATTTGTGTTTGATAAGAAGAAAACTAAGATTTCAATAGTTGGGCCAACTGAAGTGGGAAGGGGCTCGTATTCCATATTCTGATTCGAAGCCGATGTTCGGCTTTCACCACAACCTTCCTGTTACAACAACAAAGTGGTTGAATAACGAACGTTTTTGCCATTGGCTCTCTTTCGTATAAATTGTAACTTTGTTTTTTATTCAATATTGAATCCTTGTTAAAATTAGATACAAAGTTATGAAAATTTGGACCCAAGGAAAATACAGGACACCCGAAGTTATTCAAATTGGAGCAATATTTTATGTACACATGTACAAGTATATCAGAAAGCGACATAATTTTATTAATTATCGGAACAAAACCGAATATTTCTGTAAACATCACACATGACTTGCATTCGGTTCCGATAATGAAAACAATGCAATCCTTATTGGTTATGTTGACTTTATAATGATTTGGAACAGAAATTCAAAAACAGCTACACATTTACAGTGCTATTTCCGATTCCTTAATTTACATACTTTGAAAATTATACGTTGCAATTAAGTCTTTTTGAAACTAACTAAATAATCATAATAAACCGTCTTTATTTTGGGCGATGTTTAGCTCATACAGATTCTACTACTTAACACTTAAGAAAAATAAATTAACATCAAAGAAGTATGAATACAATAAAATGTGCCTATAAATTGACCTCCCTACGACCGTCTGGAAGAAAAAGTTATATATAAAAGTTAAAGGCTAAAAGCTAATATGAAGCTTTTCGTGTAAAATTTTTAAGTATCAGAAAAATGATATTGAATAAAGTTGTATATTTTAAATAGAACACCCTTATGTTTTCAGTGGAAATAATAGTGCCTTTTTTTCTGGTTACACATATATATGGTTAATTGAACTTATTTTTATTACTTTAGTCTAAAACTTGCAGTTTGTGTGTCATTTAAATATATGTATTTCGGCCCTATACCAGACTGCATAGGCGGCTAGATGTAAAAGGTTCGAACTCGGATACAAAAAAGTAAATGACACACAAACTTTATGTTTTTGGCGAAACTAATAAAAATAAGTATGATAAACCGGGTGTCCGCAAAGTTGGGGTTTTCCTTTTCAGAAACAACTACCCTTGAAATAACAAAGGTAATGTGTAGTGAAACGAGGGCGACCAAGTAAAAAAAACAAAGGAAAAAGTACTCACTCTCCAGTTGACGAGAAGGGCTAAGTACGTATCTGCCCGAAATCATACCGCTCCAACAGAAAATGAAATCAGCTGATGCGCTACCGAGCAGACGCAGGCAAACAAGGAAGGCAAAATGTTGCGTAAAAAGTCTAGGTATTGTATCCCGTCCAATCGATTTGGGAGAATAAATGGTCCAATGAGCATACCGTTCACCATGCCAGCCCAAACATTCACCGAAAATGTTTGTTGAAAATGTGCCCGACGGACAGCGTGCGGATTTTCTACTGACCAAACATGAGTGTTACGAAAGTTATTCATCCCATTACGCGTGAACGTAGATTCGTCTGTCACCAATATGCACTTCAAAAAGTCCGGATTATTGTCATGTTGATGCAACAACCACCACAAAACTGCACTCTTGCTGGAAAAACGTCAGGTTGAAGGGCTTGTACAGGTTGGACGTGAAACGGATACAGCCCCTCTTCACGCAGCGTTTGCCACACTTTAGTTTTTGATACTTGCACTTCTCTAGCCACGTCTCTAGTGCTTGTTGAGGGATTCTCGTCTACGCGATCACCTCTACACTCGTGACCGTAACCGTCGGTTGAAGGTTGCATACTAACCTGACACACTGACACCGACCCAGTTCTGTCGTCGGGTTGAGCTAGTGTCCTAGTACCACTCGGGGATGTCGCGGCTACAGGACGGTATTCACATATTTTTGATGTTGCATAGCCCTTTATTTCGGTTCCCTTAAGACATTGATGTATATGGTACTAAGAAAAATTGCTTATGTTTTCAAGATCTACACGTCGTGTAAAGGAAAACGCCAACTTTGCGAACACCCTGTATATTTAAAGGAGAAAAAAGGGACTATCATTTTCCCTGAAAATATATTGGGAGTTCCATTTTAAAAAATAAAACCTCATTTGATAGCATTTTTCTGAGAAAAAAAATATTACATGACAAACTTCATATTAGACTGTATAACTTTTATATACAACGTTTTCTTCTGGAAGGTTATACAAAAAGTTAAATTTATAACCGGAGTACTAGATGGTAGTGTTATATACATGCATCATGCATAATATTAAAATCATGTTTTAAAAGGAAAAGAAAAATTAATTGATGATTGTCTCCAACTTTGCTGTTAAAAAATCATATTTTTTAAAGTCCAAATGATTCGTAGGTGGTGGTGATGCAATGTAGAATCGTATATTTGTAAAGCATTTATGGAAGAAAGACGGCTTGTGAAGAGGCATAGTTAACGTATTCACAAAACAAATATTTCTTGAATGCTTAAGCCCACGAAACACAAGCTTCCATTTTTAAAATGGTGGAACTGATGTATGTGGTTAGAACTTTTATTTGATGAGCTCGATTTCCAGAATAATTGTGAAGAGACTTTTTAACGAAAGCCAATAGTTGTTCAAAGCCCAAAATACCAATACCATATCGTTAAATAGATTTTCTATCTTCGTATATTTGAACTGACAAAATGGCACACTGGTAGTCTAACTCTATTTCAAAGTCCCTAAATGGTTTAAACCACAAAGAACAAACTAAGAGGCTATATGCGTATATGGCAACGTTACTTAGCACCGTTTGAAAGGTTTTTCAATTGTTCCTAAATTCGCTAACCAAGATTATACGCATTTCTTATCAAGTCGAAATTTCAATCTCCACGGGTGATTTTTGTATTTTTTTTTCAAATGCCCTTGTGTTTTCTTGTAAAACGGAGAGTAACTTTTATAAATTAGTCAGAAATTTTGTACTGAACAAGACTTTTGAGAACAGTTTTGGAGTTCTTGCCTTATGCGTGTTTCTCTCTTTAAAATAATCCTTTTTTTTTATATCGAAACAGCCGCGCAGGCAGAAGCCTAAATGCCGGAACACCTCGGCTGCTATGATGATCCCAAAGAAATTTTGTTAATACGATTTTTGAACTGCCTAAGGTTAGTAGAACTGGGAAAAGCTTCCTCCCGTAGATTGTTCCACAATCTAGACACCCTCGGGACAAAGGAGCGGTCGTATCGGCCAGTTCTGGATGTACGAAGTTTGACACGGTTAGGATTGGACGCCGAAGTCAGGCGGGTCTGTCTGGCAGGCACATCGCGCGGCGGCATCATGGAAGAGAGCTCTGATGAGCAAAGCCCGTTGGTGTAGCGATAGAAAAGAGCTAGATCGTCGACGGCCCGCCGGTGCGAAAGAGTCTCGAGACTGTCTGTTAGAGAAGAGTCATCGATCAGTCGGACCGCCCTCCTCTGGACAGCATCGAGCTTGGATAATGTAGTCGGGGCGGCAGCACCCCAAATGTGTGAGCAATACTCGAGGCTAGGCCTTATCTGGGCCTTGTATAGAGTGAGAAGGTCATGCGGAGAAAAGTACTTCTTAGCCCTAAACAAATAGCCTAGCTTTTTCCCAGCAGCTGCAGCTATTGAAGAGATGTGTTCGTGCCAGATCAGGTCCTCGGCGATCTGGACTCCGACCAGCCGAAATGAATGGCTCTTTGGTAGGACTCGACCGTCCATCGAAACTGTATGAGCGCTAGGACGCTTTTTGTTCGTCAAAGTACAGTACTGTGTTTTGGAAGCATTGAACTGTACAAGATTGTTGCGTCCCCAAGCAGTGATAGCCTCCAGGTCTCTTGTCAGAGAAGAAGTCGTCGCTAGTCTTCTTTTTTCCAGCTCAGCGGCAGAGATCGGCTTGTCACTCTGAATTCCTGCATGTAGAGTGCTGTCATCAGCGAAGCTGTGGATTGGGTTGATCGTGCAGGAAAGGAGGTCGTTGATATGTAAGAGAAACAGTGTTGGAGCCAAGACCGATCCCTGGGGAACACCCGCGTTGACGTTGTGGGATGAAGAGGAGAATCCGTCAATTACGACGGATATCTTGCGGCCAGAGATAAAGTCAGCCACCCATCTGCAAAGCTTTTCTGGGACGCCATAGGATGGAAGTTTGCTTAAGAGGGCAGCGTGCCACAGCTGATCGAACGCTTTCGTGATGTCAAGAGCAACGACATGAGCCTCACCATGAGACTGGATGAGTTTACTCCACAGTTGCGTGACGTAAGCTAGGAGGTCCCCTGTGGATCGTTGGTGCCGGAAACGATACTGCCTGTCGCTAATCAAGCTGTGACGTTCGAGGTAGTCCAGAAGCTCGCGATTTATGCACCTCTCCATCACTTTACTTATAACAGAAAGCAGAGCTATAGGCCTGTAGTTGTAAGGGTCGGTTTTAGATCCTTTTTTTGGGATGGGCTGTACATGAGCAAATTTCCAGTTTTCTGGGAAGGTGCCGGATTCATAAGATATCTGGAAGAGACGCGAAAGAACTGGAGCAAGCTCAGCTGCACATCTCTTCAGTACAATGGCAGGAATCAAGTCCGGACCAGAAGCTTTGTTGATGTCGAGCGACAAGAGCACTCGTCTTACGGTCTTATGCCTGAATGTTACCTCCCGCATAGTGTGGGGAACCCTTTGAATTGACGGCACTTGGGCGTTGGTGGGGACGTCCATGGTGGAGTTGGCAGCAAAGATCTTGGCTAGCACTTCCGCCTTGGCCTTTGAGTCGAATACAATAGTTCCATCCTGACACGTAAGTGGTGGAAGGCTACTGTGTGAGAAGTTCTTTTCAATCTGCTTGGCCAGCGTCCAGAAAGACCGACTGCCATTGCGCTGCGACATTACCCTGTGCCTAACTTTTATATCATGCTGGGTTTTGGCATTGCGAACCGCTTCGTTATATTTGTTTCTGGACTCGACGTCGGCTTGTCTGTTCTCTACAGTGGGGTTTTGTAAGTAGGTTCTGTGGACCTTGATCTTCTGTCTAAGGCTCTGATTTTATTAAAAAAGTCTTTTTTGTAATAAATATTTGTTATTTGTTTCTTAAAATATAAACAACTAATGAAATAAAAATCGATAGAAACGATAGTGCAGAAGACACGTTGTCGAATTTTTGTTTCTATTCTGTAAATAAATGTTTTCTGGTCTTCAAAGAAAATAAAAAATTTTCCACAAATTATTTGTAAGAAGATTATAAAAATCACCCTCTGCAGTAACCCCGTCTCTATAGTATGTCCAAATTTCTTATTTAGACCTCGAAAAATATAGGTCGGTTATCACGGCACTGCAAAATTATTTTTTCTTTAGAAAAATACAAGGCGTTTGTTTCTGAAAAGCCCTTATTTTTCATAGTCACTTTTTTGTTTATATCTCGAACAATAAATGAGTTATCTAGATAATAAGAAGAGTAGTGGTGAAGATGAGATAACGAGCATAATCATGAAAAATTGATTACATTGATACTTATTATCAATAATTGATCGGAATATGGCATTTATCCTGTCAATTAAAAACATAACTTGTCATTCCAATTCATAAGAACCAAGGCGATTTGTCATATTTTGAAAGTTTCAGATCCATAATCTTTTATCAGTTTTTTCAAAAATATTTTATATGGTGATGAATAACAGAATATTGAATTTTTTAATTCTAAATGATTTGATAAAGAAACTCAACCTGTTTATTGAAAGTAAATCAACTCTTACAGCTTATTCAGAATATTATGGTAGACTTGGACCGGGTATCTCTCTTAATCTAACGAAAGCGTATGACCTAGATCACATTATATTACAGCAAAAATTTGAGAAATACGGCGTTAGAGGTCCAGAGCTTTCTTGGATATAATCATACCACAGCAATCATAAGCATAAAGTGAATCTATTAGGACGTAATGGAACACTGACTGACAATACTAGATTTCTTGAATTAGATACTTACCTCAGGTGGGACAACCATATATATTATTTAAGAAATAAGCTCAATTAGGTATGTTATTCGATATGAATTATTGCTTAATATTTAAATAGAAAAACTTTGAAAGTTGTGCATCACTGAAACACTGAATCTAGATTAAGGTATGGAATTATGTGAATCGGAAACTGTAGTGACTTTGATGACATTTTTGTGATACAAAAGAGAATATTAAAAAACATAGCAATACGCTATTTTAATAGCTTTTGGAGTGTGTATTCAACAGTGCCTCATATATCTATTTGAAAATAATTGTTCACAGTTAATGAAACAAGTAACCACACAAGAGTTTTTAACTACCGTATATTTATCCTAAGCATAGATTAGCTTCATTTGAAAACGGTACGCTTTAAAATTGTCTAGAACAAGTTAACCATTTAGCAGGAGTTCTGAAAAAAATTGTATATAAAAACATGTTATATACAATATTACTGAATCTAGCAAGATTTTATCGTTACTTTTACTTGGTTGACGCTATTTGTATCACAAGTGGTTTACAGCTTTTGTATAGCATTTGTATTTGCAAATAAAGCTGTTATTATTATTATTATTGATAGTACTACAAATGTATGCCTTAAGGTATTTAAATTTTAAAAATACTTGCATGCGCTATTTCAAACATGATCAGAACGACGAATCTTTTCAGATTAGTTCTACGAATAAGGTACGACGATCCAACTGCAACATTTCACCTAGGTGAAAAGTTTGGAGCCTACCCCGAGGATGCCAAGCAACTGCTGGCCGTAGCTCGATACTTAGATCTGAATGTCATTGGAGTGTCTTTCCATATCGGTTCGAGCAGAGGACACAATCCAGACCTAAATGCATTCCATGGAGCCATCATAGCTGCAAGAACAGTTTTTGATGAGGCTGATGATCTAGGATTCCATTTCACTCTGCTTGACATCGGAGGAGGATTCTGCGGTAATAAGGGTGCTACTTTATATGAGGTATGTAAAAAAAATTCATAGATAACCTGCAAACTGAGAATACAGGTTGTAATGTGGAAAAATATATTTAAAACAGTGCTGCTGCCATTCTATTGAATTCAAGCTATGTTTAATGGAAATAATAATAATAATAGTATTTATTGTCCAAAAGTTACCCATTTGCAATACAATTACATGAACAAACTAAACTAATAGTCTACTACAATGTTTGGAAAGAAAATAATCAATTTAAGTTCTAAGAAGATAATGTAATGACAACTAACTCTATTGAAATTTTTACATATGACATGCGCAGGTGACTTAACCAATAGGTTGGTTTTGCTCTAGATGGTTTAAAAGTGACATAATTGCGGAGGTACATTAATATTAATTTGCGCTAGAATATCGGGGGAGTCATTATAGTTTGAAAAGAAATAGTGCAGACTAAACCTTTCTTCTGAATTCTAAGCTTTGAATTTGAAAATGCACACACCACTCTGAATTGCTAAATCCTTACTCAGGATAAACTCCCTCAGACTTCTTATGAAGAAATTTAAGGAACCTTCCTTGAAACTTTTCAATTTCGTTTATATACATTTGGTAATACGGGCTCCATATAATACTCGCATAGTCAAGTTTGCTACACACATATATTATGTAAAATATAATAAATATAAGAAAATGGGAAATGTTTATCTTTGGTGATAAAGAATATCAAAATCTCTGATTGTGTCACATCTATTCAACAACGCACCATCAATATTATAGTTGAAAATATGAATGTTTTTTTTTCCTAGTATAACTAACAACCTTGCTCTTGTCGGTATTTAGATGTAAATTGTTGACACCAAGTCTGAATACTATTCAACTCTATCTGTAAATCCAGACAATTATGAGTATCTCTTATAGATGAATATGTTTTCATGTCAGCAAAAAATAATTGCATACATTTCAAATTTTCACAGAGGTCATTAATAAATAATAGGAATGAAAGTGGTTCCAACTTAGGCCCCTGGGGAACACCGGATAGAGTTGAGTAGGCTTCGATCTTGAACCTATTATATATTACGCCCTGATAAGATCTACAAAAAGTTATAGTACTTACTCTAATTCCAAAGTGCCCTAATTTCCTTAACAAAGTTCTTCTTCTTCTTGTTCTTCCTACTTTATTAATAGGCTCATGCCTGTTTTACTTCGGTTTTTAGCCTCAATTGATGTTGTCTGACCGTCCTTTCCTCGGTCGTCCCATTGATCTTCTTCCATTTGGCGATTTATCTCTTCCTATTCGTACTGTTCTATTTTCTGTCATTCTTTCTATGTGTTGATTCCATTCTATTTTTCTTCTTTTTTGCAACAGGTTTATTTCCTCTATACCACATCTCGCTCGTATTTCCTCAGTTCTTACTCTTAGAGTTTGGTTTGTTATTTTTCGTAAGACTTTCATTTCTGCTGTTTCCAATAATCTTTGAGTTTTCGCCGTATCTGCTCTTGTTTCCGCTGTGTACGTCATTATCGTTCTTATTGTTGATTTATACTAGTTTTCGTTTCCGTTGTGAGGAATTTGTTTCTCGAGATTGTATGGTTGGGTCATCCTGCTGCTCTGTTCGCCATGTTCACTCGTTTTTGTACTTCTTCTTCCACTTTTCCATAGCTTGACAGTTTGATTCCATAGTCAATTTTTGATACATGATTTTGTTAGTAGTGCAATAATTTTTTTAGGTCGGTGCAGTCATCAATGACGTTCTTGATAGATACTTCCCAGAGACAAATATTGATGTGATAGCAGAACCAGGACAGTATTATGTGAATTCAGCATTCACACTGATCACGCAAGTTCACACTAAAAAAGTTCTCAATGGGCAGGAAATTGCAAGAATGTATTTTACGGATGTTAGTGTTTACAATTCGATGATTGACGTAGTTTTCAAGGTAAGATTGATAATTAATCATTGACTAACTACAAAAGCATTAATGCAGACTGCCAGAAAGATTGGGTAATTTAACGTATACTTTTCTATTTACCTGACAAATATTTTTTGTAGGTTCCGTTTGACATGACTCCAGTGAAGAATCGTAAGCCAAACTCTCGCAAACTGCCTAGCATTGTTTGGGGGGCAACGTGTTGTAGCAATGACAAGATTTCTGGTGATATCATCTACCTTCCAGAATTGTATATTGGTGACTGGTTGATGATCCATGATATTGGAGCATATTCCATATCAATATCCAGCGACTTTAATGGATTTCCATTACCAAATGTGCATGCGTTCATCAGGAAGGACGACTGGTAAGTGAAAATAAAAATCTGGATGATAATTATTAGCAATCCGCTCAAGCCGATATCTGCCTGTAAGCTGGAGAAAAGAAGACTGTCAGCGACTTCCTCTCTGACGGGAGACCTCGAGGTTATCACTGTTTGGGGGCGCAGCAAACTTGTACAGTTCAATGCTTCCAAAACAGTACTGTACCTCGACGAACAAGAAGTGCCTTGCGCTCATCCGGTTTCGATGGATGGCCTCCCAAAGAGCTATTCATTTCGTCTGGTCTGAGTCCAGATCGTCGAGGAACTGATCTGGCACGAATACATTTCGACAATAGCGGCAGCTGCTGGGAAAAGTTGGGCTAATTGTTTAGCCTCTAGCATGGCTCACAAGTTTGGAGTGCTGCCGCCCTGACTACAGTGCTGTCAAACTGATCGATGACTCTTCTCTAACGGACAGTCTCGGGGCCCTTTCGCGCGATGTGCCTATCAGACAGACCCGCCTGACTTCAGGTTCCCATCCTAACCGTGTCAAGTTCAGTACATTCAGAACTGGCCGGTATGACCGCTCCTCTGTCAAGGTTGTGGAACAATCTACGTTAGAAGGCTTTTCCTAGCTCTAGTAATCTTGGGCAGTTCAAAAATCGGATTAACTAAGTTTCTTCAAGCTCCTCATAGCAGCCGCGGTGCTCTGGCATTTAGGCTTCTGTCTGAGCGGCTGCTTAGGTGTAAAAGAACAAGTAAGAAAAAAATGTTGTTAGTTTTAGCGTAGCAACTGACATTTTTCATGAAAGCGAATATTACTCATTTCTTTCTGTTAGTGGATCGTCATCATTTTTAGCATAAAATAATTAATGTAACTTTTCAAAAATAAATCATGCAACAGTATTTATGAAAACATGCACGAAACGTTAAAACTCATTCACCAAGCATAACTGTATTTGAACATGAGTTCTCAATGCTTTTATAATAGGTACAGATCATCTATCTCAATGTTTAATCTAAAGTATGTAATTTTTTAGAGGGCAATAGAAATTTTAAGATCTGAAATTTTTATTAATATGAATACTTGTACTTTTTATCTAATCTATTTGTTCGCTAAATTATAGCGCTGATCAACCGAGCATGAATGTGTCTGCATGCGAACAATGTATCCAGTCACATAACCTGGCCATTTTTGACACGTATGAAAACGTAGACATGAGTCTCACAAGATGAGATAATGAATTAATCCGATTACGTTCGATAGAAGTGTAACACAGTTGAATGTATGGATATGATGCCGTAGAAGGGTTTAAATTGACCTTTAGTGGACATGAAACGGCAGCAGGATTGCTTATCTTCGCTGTGCACTAATGATGGCGAAGAGTCTTTTTGAGCCTATTGAAACTAGTACAATAAACCATATCACTTCTCCCTCCTGGGTTTCATAGATAGAGGTTTGCGCTACACGAGATGTGAACTTGAAATGTATAGAATGGCTTTCCAGTTGTTTGTGAATCTCTATAAGCTTTCAGCGTCAACACGCTGCTCCGCAGTTCATCCTTAGAAATTCGAGGGCATGAGAAAAGGGGTACAATGGAGGCCCAGATGTAAGATAAGTCGTTCTGGCCATATGTTCGGTTAGGGGAAACACTAAAACACCACAATATCATAAAATAATGATGAAAGTTCTGCGTATTTCTTTGAACTGTAGTGGTAAATTCACGTGAAGATCTCTGCAACTTTTGGGACGTCTCGCTTCTATGTGCCCTCGGGCATGCAATCTTTATTTAATCGCAATGCGCTTTAAAGCAATAAAATTAAACAAGTTGTAGTTTTTTCCCTTCCCGGGAGCCACCTGATCAAACTCCTCGATGGCACTGCAGCCTCTAGGGCTTATTGTATCTTGCTCCTCGAATTTACAGTACCCAATCCAGCCGCCTGGTGATATGTACCACTTCCCTGCCGGTACTGTTTTAAGCTGCGTCGGTTCTAGTTGATGTATTTTGTGACAGAGTGCCTCTCTCATATAAGACATGTAGGGCTGATTATTGTGCTGATTTCTTACCCATTCTTTGATTTGGTTCCTTATTGTGCATTTTGGTACCCTCAAGGCAGGTTCTGGGCCTGTAAAGGGTGTGGATGATCATTTCCTTACCAGTTTCCTCAACGTCCTGGCACACACATCAAAGTTACTTTGCCTAGGGCTTTTTAACGTTATGAGTGACGCCTGACTCTCAGTATATACGGCGATCCCTTTATTATTATACACTCGCTCATTATTTACTCTTGCGCAATGCACGATTGCATACACTTCTGCCTGAAATGCAGAGGTCCGTCTTCCAAGTGGTATACTATGGTCACGATTGCACCTGTTCCCGTATATACCTTCACCTATTCCTTGCTCAGTTTTTGACCTGTCGGTGCACCAGGTAATTTGCAGCTGGAGCGCTCTTCATTGCGCATGTTATCGACAGGCAAGCAAGTCTTTGAACCTTGTTGTATCATCTTTGGCCATCATACCATAAATAAGTTATCATGGGCCTTGCTACCATTATGTACGTCCAATGCACCATGGAAGGGCTTAATCCCAATGTTTTTCCATGACATCGTCTAGTGAACATTAAAGTCGACTCCGTTCTCATTTTAATGCGTTTGGAGTATCACCCCTCGGGTGCTTGACTTCCCCCAATAGTTGTAACTGTTCTCCCAGTTGATATAAAGGCCCAACCACTCTAATTTCTCCCTTCTGGTGGACTTACGCTTAAACCCTCGTTTGACGACCATGTTGGACCACATTCAGAGCCCTTTGCAAACAAGTGGTAATGCTAAAATAAGTGAATTAAAGAGGTTGATCCGCTAATTTAGTTGAGAGGTCTACATGTCAAATGTGAAACCTATGAATAGGGAATGATTCATATGTCACTGACCATTTTATTAACAACTTAAATGCTTTGCCATACTGGTGGCCACACTCTACACAGCTTTGCAAATAATTTTTCATTGATTACAGGGTATACCTGACGGAGAAAATTGAACAGCCTGTCCCTAAGGAGAAATTTGTATTTGGAGACAGCACTGATAAATACCTACTAACAGGACTAACTCTGCCCAGTAGATACACCACGAATTACTTCTAGGTGCCTACCTGCATTAGTATTAATATAAAATGTGATAAAGTGACTATCTGAAAACGTTATACGATACGGATATGTACAAGTATTACAACTGTTCTGTTAACCATTTTTAGGATGCGAATTATATTATAAAATATTTATTTTTATTATAGTGAACTAATATGATTTTATCAAATATATTTACTTAAAATAAGGTTTTGTTCTTTTTGACGTTTACAAATCACGCGCCTGCATTTCATGTTGATTATTTGTACTATTTGACCCATGGACGTGTGGAGAAGGCATTTTTGTAACATACGAAATAACATCATTTTTGTGATTTGCACGTTAATTTGGGGTGGCGATTAGAAAACGGTCGATTTTCAAAACGGAGCTAGCCTAACCTGTAGTACTCTCTCAAAAAATAAAGCCTTATATACCCTATTTCAGGGGTATCCATCACGCTTTAACGTCTACTGAGCTGAACAGCTGATTAGTAAGTGACATTTTTGTGTTAGTCTGCAACGTTGACAATAATGAATCGGGTATGAATCTAGTAGAACTTGTTTGTGGCGTTTTGTTTTTTGTATGCAGATGAATTTTTCTGAATAAAAGAGCTGTAAGCAAGTACAAAATGAATCAGTAGCGCACAAAAAAGCAAGCAAAATACGGCTCTGTCTAACTGGCGTTAACGGATCCGGAACCGTGATGGATACTCATGAAATAGGGTATAACGAAGTGCTCTTAGATTTATAAATTGAAAGTGGAATTTAATAGACTTTTGAGATGTTTGGTGGAATGCGTTTAAAATACTGTATACTTAAAAATCTAAGAAAGAGTTCTCGATGATGTAGCCACACTCAAGGACTAGGCCAGAAAGAAAGTTTGTTCTGTGTTCATGTCAAGCAATTTATTATTTGGATGAAACTTGGGTTAATGCTCGGTATGGGTCGATGAAACCGTGACCTCATCTAGGAGGGCATTTCTAGATAAACTGTCCACTGGTTTGAAAAATCCATCAGGTAAACTTTTAATCGTAACTTATAAAATACTAGTACAAAAGATACTTGAACATCCTTTCAGAGTAATTTCATATATCAGGATATAGTCAAGAAAACGTTAGCTTTCCTTAGCTTGTATATTTTTTTTAATTGAAATCATTTTGTTTCTACAATATTTTACTTCCCACGCATAGACCAGGAATTCCGAATTTAAAATAACATTCATGACACTAGTTTACGTCGGCCTGTCTGTCTGTTGGCTGAACAGTCTTCTCTTTCCGGACTTAACTACGCGTGCTAAGTTTGTATCTGAATTACATCGTATTGTTGGCGAACCAGATTCTTAGAACCTTGTATCTTACATTGAAGTTCTGCCATCTGGGCTGTCAGGCATCTGTAGCTCAGTGGTAGAGCATCTGGGCGTAAAGCAGAAGGTCTCGAGCTCAAATCTCGACGGAGACCAGTTTATTCTTCCGAATTTCAAAAAATCCGATTTCAAGTGTGTATCTTATTGTTGCGAGCAAAGAATATTAGCTTTGAGGACTCAGTGCTAAAAGTCCAGCTATTTGTCAAAGAGCATATAAGGCTGCATACGAAAAATATGCAGTCGATAAGATGGCAGCAAGCCATAACAAAACAGTCCTTCGTCTGCCCCCATATCACTGTGAGTTAAATCCCATAGAGCTCATACGGGCGGATGTTAAAAACTTTGTGACACAACATAACACCACGTATAAATTTGCCGACCTCAAGGTACTTTTTGATGAAGCCCTAAGCAGAATCTGAGCCGAGAAATGGGAAAAGTGTGTTCGGCACAAAAGTCGAGACAAAGATGTGGGAGCTCGATAATATTTTAGAAAGACAAGTCCAACCACTGATAATTGAATTTGGCCAGAATGATACCAGTGATGAGGATGACAGTTCAAGTTCAACATTCTGATAAACAATGTTAATAGTTCTACGTAGAATTAAAATGATTACATTCCTTTTCAAATGGCGTTTATGATTTATGGAAAATCCAATGTAAATCTTTTATAGTGCACATAGTGGCCACATTTGGTTATAGATCTGCCATATTTTACTTCAGTCGCAATCATGAAGAATTTTTTCTAAGATAATGCATCTGCAATCGATAAATTGTTTGGCATCATTGAATCATCGCAAAAAGCTTCTGAATACGACTCTGTACAAACCATCAGCCTTCGAGATACGTGTGCGCAGTGCATGACTATGTTTACATCAACTCTATCTTGGACTTGGTTTTAGTGTAGATAAGAGAAAGTTAGTTTCAACAATGTCTAGATTGTTGTACTTTACTGCAAAAAATAATATAAACGCTCAGACCTACAAATTTATGAAACACATTTTTCTGTGTGGTCGTAGATAAGCTTATTTGTGATATGTTAGTTGTAGATGATTGACCATTTACTTATATAGTAAGTATGCGAACTTTTTTTTTTTTTTGGTGAGGGGGGAATGCGTTTACGCACCATACCATAGCCCGAGCTACGGCGTGTGTGGGACTCCAGGTTGTCTTGAGGAGACCACCTAATACCCACTAAACCCTAACCTCCGCGTGGCCCGACTCATCAGCGTCTCGGTAGGCCATGTGTTGTGCGTGGCCTGCGGTCTGCTACAACGTCTCCTCATGTGTTTCAGTCTCTGGGAACGCCGGGTTGGTTCCCTTTACCTCGCACACTCTATCGATGACGTTAAGCGATCATCGATAGAGGGTCTGCTAGGTTCTCTTGCAACTCTTGTTTTCGAAAAAATCAAAAGTTTCAAGTCCTCTTACCTATATATTTTTCCTGGTCCTGGTCCTGAAGGGTCCTGGTCCTGGTGGGTCCTGGTCGTGGCGGGTCCTGGTCCTGGTTGGTCCTGGTCCTGGTCCCGGTGGGTCCTGGTCCCGGTGGTTCCTGGTCCTCTGCATCCACGCCGTGGGGGGGGGGAGCAACCGCGGGTTCTCCTAGTCTCCTAGTCAAGGTTCCAGTTAGCGGGTGCCAACTGGGACCTTGGTCTATTGTACCTGGTTCTGCGGTTGCGAGGCCTCTCGTCCGGATCGTAGTCCATGAGGAATCGTAGCTGCTCGTTCGGGTGGTCCTGAGCTTTCTGGAAGGTCTTCTCCGCTTTTTTCCTCATGTACTCGTGAATGGTGTCCCAATGCAGGTCTCTACGCAAGGTTGAGTTTCTTACGTAGGATGGTGCACTGATGGCGATCCGGAGTAGCTTCATCTCTAGAGCAGCAAGTCGCTTGCGGTAGCTGGGGGCAGCGTACCCCCAGACCGCGGAGGCGTAAGCGAGCTGAGGTCTGGCGATGACCTTGATCAGCCGTAGCTTGGTCGCTAGCGGCATCCGGCTGTGTCTACCCAGTAATGGGTAGAGTTGAGCCATGGCTGCTCTTTGCGATGACAGCTTCTATGTGGGCTTTCCAGGTGAGGGACTTGTCAAATACGATCCCCAGATATTTGACTTTGTCGCTCCACTGGATATCTTCGTCGAAGATGGATGCTTCGAGAGGTCTTGCAATCCTTCTTCGTTGGATGAAGATTGCCTGCGTCTTCTGGACGTTTATGCGGATTTTCCATTTCACGCACCAGTCCTGGATGTGTTCCAGTTCATCCTGTAGTCTCCTACGGATGATCTCCGGTCGTCGATGCTTGGCGGCTATAGCAGTGTCGTCTGCATATAGGGCCAGCATTGTGTCAGCTGTCTTCGGTACGTCGTGAGTATAGATGTTGTAGAGCAGGGGGGCTAAGGCTGACCCCTGGGGCACGCCTGCTTCCAACTGTCGTTTTGTTGAGTGGCATGTACCAATCTTCACCGTGAACCATCTTTGTGTTAGATAGCTCTGGATCAGTTGGCACATGTTTGCATCGATTCCGGCGGCTTTCATTTTGGCGATGAGTCCATCGTGCCAAACTCGATCGAAGGCTCGTTCCACGTCCAGCAGGACGAGGCCGGTTGCCTCCTGGAGATTGAAGCCGCTGGTGATGTTTTCTGTCAGTCGTAGCGCTTGGAGTTCCGTGTTGTGGGAGGATCTGAAGCCGAATTGCTCTGGGGGGAGAAGTTTCAGTTCTTCTGCCTGCTTCTCTAGTCGAACGGCGATAGCCTTTTCGACTACTTTGCCCATCGAGGAAACCAGGCTGATGGGCCGGTAGTTCTGGGGCAACTTCCGGTCCTTGCCTGGCTTGGTGAGCATTATAACCTGTACTTCCCGCCACCGCCGCCTGAAGTGGTTAATTCTCAGAGTGGCATTGGCGATGTTGGTGAGCGCAGCAGTGCCTTTGGAGGGAAGGTTCTTCAGCATCCTGTTGTTGATGCCGTCCCTTCCCGGCGCCTTTCTGACCTTCTATGCGAACTGACTGTTCGCATATATATATATATATATATATATATATATACGTATTCAAAACGCTAAGCTAGTATGACATGGCTGACCATCTATCACCCCTATATTTTCCTATGCCTGTGATAGTGACAATAGCTACCCGCAAGTAAACATTCAGGTCCTTGCGGCCCACACGTAGAATTATCGACCGAGCGGCACGCGCCGAACGACTCAGCAGCGAGGGAGAGGGTGAGGGTGGTACCAACTATTGGTGATCGGTGGTTATTATGGCAAAATATCACACTGGCCGGCAGGGCCACTGAGCCGCTACACTATGAACCGTTGTTGTGGCAACGTTGTGCTCTGAAACTACGATGAGTAGGTGTGTTCAAGGGATAGTGGGCAAGCGGTATCATTTTATCATGAATTTGTTCATTGCACTGCCACCTTGAGGATTATGGTCTTTCAGGGGGTAGGTATGAAGGACGTTAATAGTCTTTGGCAAACGGGGAGAGAATATTTTGTGACAAACTACCCTTCAAGATTTTGTAAAACTTTTTCCTTACGTTCATTGGGACAAATATTCAATAGCGACAATTCTTTATACGAGGCGTTGTACTTCCCATGCCAATTTTCAGAAAAGTTCGAAATCGAAATATGTATTTTTTAATATTTCGTGACACACAATCGCAAAAATCCATCCTACTCATTTCTGTCAGTCTGTCTGCAAATCTTTGGCACTTCCATATGGATTTTTTTAGACACAAGATTGCTCCTAAGAGGAGAATGAAAAAGCTTGGAATTTTTTGAAAACCAAATGGCTCAAAATTGAGGGATAATGGTGGGGGAAATTTTTTTGCGATCGTGAAGAATCACCAATAAAACTACAGCAATGGTCGTTAATCTTTTAACACTTATCAGAATTTCCCTTTAAAAATCGCATTATACATCGCTATAGACAGTGGCGGATTTAGAGGGGGAGCGCCCCCACCCCCCCCCCTAGACGTCTGACACTTGCTTTTGTAATCTAACATCGTTGTGTTACTTTCTGACACATCATGGCGGATGTCAAACATAAAGCTCATGAGATATTTTACTATTTAGTACTTTTTTGGCTATTGTTATAGCCTCATTCATGTACTTTTTATTTCAATACGCGTGAAAACTGTTAGAAAAATTGCCAAAAAGTCCATCAAGTATTAATCTTGCGAATTTGCCATTTGTTATACTTTTTTACTTCACGCGCCAATTGGCGAGGATGTATTTGTAATTGCGAAACATTTCTAAATCAAGATAATACTTTTTTAATGTTTCATGACATGTACATCATAAAACCATGTTCGTTGTTAGCAATTACAGACAGGATGTGGCAAAATACCGGAACGGCTCGACAACTATTTGGGAATACTTTTCAGAAATGCTTCAAATAAGGGTTGTAGGATTATCCCTCATCTATCGGTCGTTGACCTTGGTTTTGACCTTGACTTTGGCCTTGATGGTTAACAAAATTTCAAATAATATGAAGACCTACTGTTGATTCGAGTAATGAAACTCGCGGAACATTTTAGATTCAAACATAACCTTGAGTGATCCTTATATTTCACATTGAGTGATCTTCAAGCTCAAATCACCACTAATGGGTAACTCTTCGGGAATCCATTTTAGGGTGAAATACTTCAAATAAAAGTTGTAGGATTTTTCCTCAGCTATCAGAAGATGACCTTGGATTCGAATTTGACCTTGAAGGTCATTTAAAGGTATAATTTCAAACGTAGATCCTCATTTTTAACACATGCAATGAAATGAGCATTAAATATTACGTTTAGATATGACCTGGGGTGACGCTCATATTTGATCTTGAATGACCTCCGGGCTACTAAGGCAAGAATGATAGTCCAGGGCAACTATAGGCAAGATTAAAAGCCCTGGCCATATATGGTAGTAGTTTCACGTTGAGAGATCACTGTTTTCCAAACTACTGTGTTCTTTAATTTTACACTTGATATGACTAGATGATTCATTCACCAATACATAATTTCAATTTTTTAATCATCGCTTGTCTCAGGAGACGGAGAATGAACCGCCATTGATTTGAGCTGCTGGTGAAGGCGAATCTGCTGAGCCCTCTGCACACGCAACATCGAAGAAATATAAACGCCAGACCGATATGTGTTACTTCTGTGAAACGGACGTACAGAACTTTGTACGCCATCTACGCAGGAACCATTTATGCGAAACAAAAGTTCAGGAAATATTTTCACATCAAAAGAATTCTGTAGAAAGGGGAAAATTACTTGCACTTTTGAAGAAAAAAGGCAATTTCATAAAAAATTCAGAAGAGTGCGTCAAACCAGTGAAGGCTCGTTCAACAAGTGCATCCTTTCTTCCGTGCGGAAATTGTCTTGGATTCTACAGATCAAAGTTTTTATACAGACACAAAAAAAAGTTCTTGGAAGGTCAGTCATCAAAAGATGCTCAATCTGAAGCGCAGAAGTTTTTCGTAAAAAATAAAAGAATTGACCAAAGATTGAAAGCCGAAGTCTTTCCCAGAATGAGAACGAACAAAATATCTCGTGAGGCAAAAAATGATTATCTTATTTGTGCCTATGGTGCTAGATATTTGAAAACTCATAGAGAAAAACATTTTATCAATCTAACGAGTAGAAAAATGAGAGAGCTTTCCAGAATATTACTATAATTGAAAAAACTAGAGCCAACAATACACAATCTGTTTGAAGCCCTGAAACCGAAGCACTATGACCAACTAGTTGAAGCTACAAAATCAGTAGCAAACTACGATACTGTTAATGACACATTTTATTCCCCCACATTTGCCATGAATATAAGTACCGCACTGAAACAGTGTTGCGACATTGCAGTACACATGGTTATAAAATTGAACCATCAGTTGAAACAGCTACTTATGAAGCTAGCCTCAAAACGATTATTAATTTGCTGCAATCAAATTGGAGATTTGATGTCTCTGGCCGCGCTGGCAATGATTTGAACTTGAAAAAATTCAATAAGGTGACTATTGTGCCATTAGCAACAGAGCTTAAGCTTTTAAAAAACTACTTGTTGAAAGCAGGAGAGGCGGTGAACAGGTTGACTAGAAATGCTGCTGATGCGAACGCTTACACCATTCTGCTGGAGACAGTTTATTGCAGGGTAATACTACTGAATAGAAAAAGACCAGGTGAACTGCAAAGGATGTTTCTTCGCACTTATGAGAGTTCTGAAATTAAAAGTGGCGCCTATGAAGAATTTGAAGAAGTCATGACCGAGGCGGAAAAACTACTGATAAAAAATCTGAAAACAGTTGTGATGTGAGGTAAAAGAGGCCGTGGTGTATCGGTATTACTTAAAGTGAGGAATAATTTTGTCCCAAAAGAAAATCCTTACTTTTTTGGAAAACCAGGGCTCACCGGGCCAATTCAGAGATATAAAGTAATTGCAAAATATGCTCATGCTTGTGGAGCAAAAAATCCTTAAGCAATTACTTGTAGCAGGCTTAGAAAACACCTTGAAACATTGAGTCAACTATGTAGTTTAAACGAAAATGAAATCGAACAGTTGTCCAATTTCATGGGATATACACCTGGGGTACATAAAAACGCATATAGTCTACCCGACGATTTGTACCAGACCGAGAAAATTTCAAAATTGCTACTTCTGATGGAAAAAGGATAAGCTGGTGAAAATAAAGGAAAAGGATTAGAGGAAATAACAATGGACTTAGAAGAAGATCTTTTAGAGGAGAACGTGTGTGATGACGAGGATGGAGAAAATATGGAAAATGAAGAAGAGGATCAGCAAGAAAAAGAAATAATATAAATGTTATCTAATAAAACAGTAGTGTCAGAGCAAAAAGGAAAGAAAAAGAAATTGCCTATAGCTGTCAATAAGAAAAAGCGTATTCTTACACCATGGACTAGTGAACAGAAGGAAGCAGTAACATTCTTCTTTAATAAGAACATAAAGGTGAAAAAAGCTCCAAAAAGAGAGGACTGTGAAGAACTTAAAAGTTTATACCCCGAGTTGCTAGCCAATAAAGACTGGCTAAAGATTAAAGCTTTTACACAAAATGTGTATTCCAAAAAAGCAAATAAGTTGTAAAATGTGACTGTGAATGAAAATAAAGAAATCAAGCTCACTTGAGTTCATTGATTTTGACCGCTAGTTATACCCAGACTGCTATCAGAGGGTATCATTAGTAAATGTGTGTATTTCTTGTCATAGTTTATGGAAATATTTAATATAAACGTTCATACCACCTTGCGTTGCACTGCTATTTGATAACTTTTTATTTTATTTCTTTTTTCACCTGATCCTCTTTTTCATCCTCTCTCTTTTCGACATGCTCATTATCAGATCTGTTCTGTTCCAAAAGAGCTTTTACTAAGTCCACTGTTATTTCTTCTAATTATTTTCCTTTGTTTCCGTTAACTTGTCCTTTTTCCGTCATAAATAGCAATTCAGACATTGATACATAGGGGCTGCGCTATACATCTTCATCTACCCCTAGTATATGCCCCATAAAATTGGACATCTCTCAGATTTCATTTCCGTTAAATTAAATAGTTGACTTAATTATAATAATAATAATAAACGTCTTTATTATTCAGATTCTGTACAAGTGGCGAATCCATGATACGAGTTGTTTTCTAAGCCTGGTATAAGTTTGCTTCACACTCGATAGGTGTTTTGCAATTACTTCCAAAATACCGGGAGAGCCGTTAAAAATTCATTGGCAGCTCTCCCCCTTTTTTCAGTTCAAAAGTATTCCACTACCAAATATTGTAAGCATTAACATTATAAGCATGTTTAGCCGAGATGTTATTTTCCATTAGTTTGAGGTGTGCGGCTAATGGCACAATGGTTATCATATTATTTTCTTCCAAATTTATGTTACCATTACTGCGGCTATATCATCAAATCTCCACATTGACTGTAATAAGGTATTCATTGTCTTGGCCCTAGGTTGATACAAAGTTGTACTGACTGATGGCTCATTTCATATAACTTCATGTAACTGAGTGTCAAATGTGTCTGTACCGATTTTCTTATAAATTTCGGTTTCAAGTTACCAGACGGATTGTGTACTATTGATTTTACTTCTTTCAGTATTATTTATACATTCTTTACATTGGAAGTGTCTTTCTCTGTGAGATATAATCTAAATAATCTTTTTCTTCAGGAAATATTGTGTCTAAAAAGTCATAGTACAATTTGACATATAATAATAGGTATGTATTTACCAATAGCTGACATGACATAGATACAAACCAAATTAATAATTAAGCTGAACTGAAAGATGGTAAATTTCGCAACACTGTCGGAAGCAAAATAACCATTGCTACGTTAAATATACAACTTATGGAACCAAAATAGTAGTACTTACGTACGGATTTATACTGATGGTAGTAATTTAGATTGTCATATAGAGGGAATCAAAATATTTAATTCGCGAGAAAAGTGTATACAGTGTATATTGGTGCCTTCATAATACGGACAATAAAAAGTATATCGGTATAAGCAGAATTCAATGAGGAACCTATATACACATCAAAATGTATGCTAGCGCAACTCCTAACGGTGGACGCAGAATGCTTTGTCTTTGAAAGGAAGCAGTATGGTCTTAAGATGTAAATATACAATGTGTTTGGTCACGACATACCGATATTTGAGGGGAATATTTTTCAGCTATTTTTATCGACAAATCCACCCCCTACAATGACATACCTCACCCCCCTTGAAATGGATCCATACCGCTGCGAACGAAATTAGGGCTGACACGGATATGGTCTGCCGCTTAACACGACACATTGTTTTAGGAACAACAATCTGCATAACCAATAATGGAGGACATTTTGAGCAGCTTCTCTAACATTAAACATGTCCAAACTCTATATAAGAAACATTGAATTGTCATTTTTATGCATATAAAGTTTGAAAACCATTTGCATTTTATTGCACCCATTTTGATCCATGTTAGATAGCATTTATTGCTTAACGTAGAATACTTATGCATTTATTACATGTAACGAGTACAGTGGCGAGACAGTGGTCTCGGCCTAGTACTCAGGTTCTCAGGTAACCGAGCGTTCGGCCGAGCACTGGGTCCAGTAGGAGAGCGAGACACTCGAGACAGTCACTCGGACCCTTTTCTACTTACTAGAGCGAGTACCACCCCCCCTACCTACTCGATATATCGCTCGACACGCGCTCGACAGGTTTGAACAGGCACTCGGTGTGCTATATCACTCGCCATCTAAAGCATCTGCGAAACTGCGTCTAGTTTTATGGTCTGACTGTTTCATCTTTCAATAAAATATGGCTAAGAATAAATGGGACTGTGATACCACAATCAAATTTAACCAACAATATAAATCCCATTCTTGCTTGTCGAATTTCCAGTCGACGGACTATAAAAATAAACAGAAACGGGATGCGCAATTGCCGCAATAGTTGAAGAAATGGATATTGATGGGTTTGGAGTGCAAGAAGTCAAAAATAAGATTAAAAATTTGGGATCCACGTACAGTCAAGAACTGAACAAAATTAATGATTCAAAGAGATCAGGGGCTGGGCTCAGTAATGTGTATACTTCAAACATCAAGTGAAGGAACTGAAGGAAATGGAAGAGGTGTTTATTCACGATCTGAAAAGAAAGACATATGAAAATGTAAGTAGTTTATTTGGTTTGGTTACAACTATCAAATCATTCTATCTTTCTTGGTATTCATGGTGAATTATGGGTAGTGTGATCGGTGATAGATGGCAAGGTGGCTATGAGTTCTCGTCTCCAAGACCCTTCAACAATTGTTCCAAAGTCAATATCTTCTACGTCCACGCAATCCTTTGGAAAGTAACAACTGGGACTTGTTAGGCGCAACCAATTATGCAGAGCACATGAGGCTCGAATAATCTTATCGGTTGTGTTGACGTTGGTTTGTGCCACTGTATGGTTTCAATAAATATGTCTTCAGTGCAAAAGCATCATCACCAACTAAAAAACCACCTGTTGGTAGCATATTGTTTTCAAGGTCGCTATATAATGCGCTATTTCTTCCATTTGCTCCGATAGTAACATAACGGAAACAGTAGTCATGGTCAACAACAGCCATAAGCACAACACTATTCATGCCCTTAAAATTGAATAATTCACAGTTCGGAAGTGCTTGAATCAATACATGCTTCCCATCTATAGCGCCATAGCAACCAGGAAAATTCCATCTAGTTTTGAAGCCTGCTTCTATCTTTTGCCATTCTCTATAGTTCTGTGGTACCTGAAACATTACAGGATTTCGGTTATCTTCAGATTAATGGACCCAGCACTGAAGATACCCATTGCACAAGAAAATGACCCCTCCGTGACCTTACAATCCCGCGACACCGAAGCAATTACTACAGCTGATGTAACACAAACCAACGCCACAAATTTACCTACATCAGCTTCTACTAGCAGCATTGGAAATAGTTCACGTGCAAGGAAGAGGAGTACGAATATTGTCAAAGCGGTTTCTGATTTGAAAAGCTTACATGAGCAAGTCAATTCTGCCGAAGAAAACCCTCTTGACGTGTTTAGGAAGAGTGTTGCATGGCAACTTAAAACTTTTTCGGTAGAAAATGCCTTATTAGCTCAGTGTCGAATCCAAAGCCTTTTGAGCGAAATCGGTATTAAGGATTACAGAGAAAAGTCTGCGCCGAATAACAGCAGTCAAAGATCATCTTCTGTATTTTCAAATTTCACTGATGTGAGTTATACATCTACTGCGTCAACAGACCATGTGACAAACAGATTTGATGACCTCACCTCAGAATCGGACACTCTTCGCACCACGAATGATATTATAACGTTAGCTATGGCTGGGACACACTGTAGAAGTTTCTGGTAAATCGCTTTATAAATAGGAATAATTATTGATGTTTTCGAAAATTCTGGGTAAACACCTATGTTAAGATAAATATTTAATCAGTTTTGTGAGCGTATCAAGAGCCTAAGTCAAATATTAGCTATAGCATTTAAGGAAATTCCATCAATGCCTCATGATTTTTTATTTTTAACACATTAATACTAATTGCAATTCATAAATGTCAGTAGGATAAAGTAAAAACTTCTTGTATATAGTATTTCATTTTTCCGCTATTGTGTACCATAATTATTTAGTACACCAGGATTTATAGGTGGTACGTTGGTGGTAGTAGGTTTGCCTCTTAATTCATTTACGACTTTCCAAGCCTTCGTCATACAGTAGTTTTTGAAACTTCTATTTTTATTTGTAATATAAAGTGCAGTCCTGTTTCAAGACAATCAGTAAAAAAAAACGGAGGAAAACCATTAATTAACGGACACTTCTTTCTTTCCACGTTTCTCTTATTCTACCGCATTTTCAGTGATTAAGTGTACATTTTTGCAATTTTTCTAATAAACTAAGAATTGTTCAGTATACTGGATTTAATACAATAAAAATAATATATGTACTTCAACATATTAAACAACTGATTTTAATCAGAGTCAAAATAAAGCAAAAATTTCCAAATCAAATCACATTTTTGTAAATAATTCTGAACTTGTATTTTGTGACATAACATCTTTATACACTTATGTCTTCAATTATTCCCAACCAGCACGGTGTCATGGAATCGACGTAGATATTTGGTGATTTTGGTCAAAGTTGGAATTTAGGGAAAATTCTACGTCAGTTATGGATCAAATTTCGCTTAAATATATAAATTAATCTATACCAATTTCCGCTGCGGCCAATAAAATCCGGTTAATTAACGTAAACGCATTAGTTTGTTATAATTTACTCCTGTATTCTTCTAATATAATCGATAAACGTCGATAAAACGAGGAAAACCGGTGTAGCACGTCACTGGTTGAGAGGGACGTTTTATCCACGTGAAACAGTGACCGCAAATACATCTGTACCTGTGTTGATCATTTATACACGTGGAAAAGATGTGGATGTGACGTGGCATTTTATCGTAAATTTAAATTGTAATCTTCCAAATAGAGAATGTCCGAATGATGATGATAAGTGTTTGGGTGATGTAATTTATTTGTAGATACATCCTGTTGCCATAAATATAAAAGCGCATATCAAATCTAAAATGCGTTGCGAGCTTTGTTATAAATAATAATGCCTTATAAACATATGCAGGGTGGCGCATCGAAAACGAAACAGACGCATTTACTGGCAGCTCAGTTTTTTTTTGGAAAAACGCTCAGACCCGTCGATTTTGTTTTCGAGGGGGACACAAGTTTGGCGGGGGTGTCACCAACCCTAAAATCTTAAATGGAAAGGGGGGGTCGAGTGATACCTTATTTTAAAAGTCTTTCAATTCCCTTTATAATGATGTAAGAGCTTCAATTCAGTAGTTTTGAAGATTTATTGATTTAAAGCTTAGAGTAGACTTTAATAGGTACATTGTAGTTTGTACTACTTTCAGAAGAAATTTGACTGAAAGAATTTTCTTAATGAGTAAATGTTTTTCTTTACTATGCCCATGGTTTGTTTATCATTTTGTTGTTGAAAAGTTATTTCTTGAAGAAAGATAAGGAAATATCTCGTACTTATTTTAAATAGGAATTTAGTACATAGTTTGCGATTGATTTGAACCAAACTTTGTTGCTAAAATAACTGGTAATGCTCGAAATATTTTTCGGAAATAATCAATGCGCTAATAGAACAGCAGAAATATTTAATGAGCGACATGAGAACAGTAACTTGCATCGAAAATGTTCTAGAACTTGTAGCTAAATTTCGGGAAACTGGGTCAGTCGACAATAAAAAACGCAACATTGAGAATCCCATAAGGAACGCAGCAATAGAGGTGGGGGTTTTAGGGCAAGTTTATGTAGATCCCACGTTAAGTACCCGCAAATTGGAGGCTGAGTGTGGTGTTAGTCGACGTACTGTCCAACGGATTCTAAAGGCCCATACTTTTCATCCGTATAAAATTCACCTGGTACAAGAACTTAATGGAGACGATTTTGATCGGCGATTACAATTTTGTGAAGATATGAGTGAACGAATTATAAACGATGAACATTTTCCATTCAACACTTGCTTTTCCGACGAATTTTCCTTTTTCTTAAATGGCATAGTAAATCGTCGTAACTGTCGATATTGGTCCGATTCTAATCCCAGAATTTATCATGAGGTTCATACACAGCAGTCACAAAAATTAAATGTTTGGGCTGGTATTTTTGGCGATCATTTAGCTGGTCCTTTTTTTTACCTGGAAATTTGACCGGTGAAATGTATTTGGAATTGCTGGAAGACGCCATAGACCCTGCAACAGCCATAATTGAAAATCAGAATGATCGGCGGTACATTGCGAATAGGTTGATGTTCCATCAGGATAGTGCCCCACCACATTACGCATTACGTGTTGGACAATATTTAGATCAGACGTTTCCAGATCGATGGATTGGTAGAAGAGGTGCCATTGAATGGCCCCCAAGATCGCCTGATTTATCACCTTTGGATTTCTTTATGTGGGGTCATTTAAAAATCAAAATCTATGCTACTCAGCCAACATCATTAGAAGACCTGCGACAAAGAATTGTGAATGAGTGCCTTCAAGTTACTCCTCAAACATTGCAAAATGTGCGGCAACGTTTTGACCAAAATCTTTATTATTGCATGGAGAGTCATGGTGACCATTTTCAACATTTACTTGCCTAACGGGTCAGTTCATTCTTCATTTTTAAATTACTTTGCTGCCAAATGTATTGATCTCCACTAATGATGATATATTAGTTTTAATTAAGCTTTAAATCAATAAATCTTCAAAACTACTGAACTGAGGTACATTAATTTTATATCATTATAAAGGGAATTGAAAGACCACTAAAATAAGGTATCACTCGACCCCCCTTTCCATTTAAGATTTTGGGGTTGGTGTCACCTCCGCTTAGGGGGCTGCACGTACTAACGTGATTTTCTGCCAAACTTGTGTCCCCCTCGAAAACAAAATCGACGGGTCTGAGCGTTTTTCCAAAAAAAGAATTGAGCTGCCAGTAAATGCGTCTGTTTCGTTTTCGATGCGCCACCCTGTATATTAGGGTACTGAAACCAAAGACTTTCTTTTCGGTGCAGGTGTTACAAACAGTTTATAACTGTGCACACACATGAGTTCTTCTATTTGAAAATACAACATATTGGAGACAACTTAATACTCTTTATCTAGTTATCACCACGTATAACCTTTTACGATTATTATTTTTGCTCCGTGCTATCATCAATCGATTGCTTGAAAGCAGTTGTTGATTTTGAACAAGATGTGGCAACTCTGCAGAAAACTGGTAGCCAGTCGAGTTTGTGTGTCGCTCTAGATCAGAGTTCCCCAAACTTTTTTGTGTCGTAGACCCCTTGCCATGTTTTTCCGTGTTGGGTAGACCCCCTACTTACCTGATATTGATTTCCTGTAAATTTCTAACTGTAGTGAAGTTTAGTGTTAAAAACTTAAAGTAAAAACACATGTTAATTTATACATTTATTAATTGAATTTAAATTAAAACTACTCAAAATTAAATTTTGTATACGTATCTGTTATGTAAAATATACGTAACATTAAATAAACAGGTGTCTGACCAATACGTGCCCACATTGGGAATAAGTGTCCGCATTGAAAAAAATAAGAGGGATAAAATAAAAAAAAAGTGAAAAATAATAAAAAAAGTTTTTTACTTAAAATAGTACAATAAGCGAGTTTGTTTATTAATTATAACATAAACGTATGTTCTACAATAATTTCACTGTTAGTTTGATTAAATTCCGCTTCTCATACGTCTAAGTTATCTGAAAATAGACAAAAAATTAACGAATTTTAGTGTGTACCTATCATTGAATTTTCAGAATAATTTAAAAAAAAATATTTTCTATAAAGGGGGATTCTTTAAAAAAATCAATGCGGGAACTTATTCCCAATGCGGGCATTTATTGGTCAGACACCAATAAACATAAAATAAACTATAAATAAAATAACATAAGCAATAAGTCAATATTTTTTGTGAGAAGGATGAACCTGATGCTTTAATAATAAATTATCAACATTTGGCGTCAATTTTGTAAGGTTTAATCTTAAATCTCCTCGGCTAACGATGTCCAGTCTGTTTCTTTTTTTCGTTAGGAGATTGGTAACAGCGCTGAACCCCCTTTCCACTAGGTATGACGATGGAAAGGAAATCAAAAATTTCCTCGCTATATTCCATAATACGGGATAAGTAACGGGTATGTTGTTTTGCAGCCAGAATTGCTGATATCCATTTTTAAACTGAACCTTAAGTTCTTCGTTTGTACTTAGTTCAGTCAGTTCCTCTTGTATTATGACATTCGTTTCTTCTATGTCACCATATGGATTAATTATCCAAGGTGGTATTAACATAGTCAAAATATCCTCAAACCTAGATTCAAAATCTGAATAGAGGGCATTTAAATATTGAACGTAAGTTGAAACGTCGTCTTCCTGGCAGCTTGTCTATGACAAATAGGGGAACTGAGAAAATTCGCCCCGTCCAATATTTTGCTTCATTAGTTTAACTCTGGCAAGAAACGCTGATAAGATGGACTTTGTTTTAATCAAATTTAAACTGTCGCCTTGTAATTGCAAATTAACCATATTAAATTTTGTAAACAAATCTGTTAAATAGGCGATGTCTGTTTTCCTCTTCATTAAATTTTCTTTTAAAATTTTATCTTTAGTATCCAGAAATTCTAAAATAGTCTCAAAAAGTGCAAAAAATCTTGTCAAACATAAGCCTTTCGACAGTCAGCGTACTTCAGTGTGAAGGAGTAATTGATTAAACTGTTCGTCATTTTCTTGCAATCTAACACTCAAATTTTTAGCAACTAAATGTTGTCGATGGATGACGCAATGTATTGCTAACACCCCTGACACATTTTGTTTTAAATAGCTTATAAATCCACGATAACGTCCAACCATGGCAGGTGCTCCATCTGTAGCTACTGATATTATATTTGATAAAGGAATTGCTTTTTCAATGAAGTAAACCTTCAAAACATGATATATTGATTCACCTCTAGTGTCGGTTATCAAAGTTCTTGCGTAGAGCAGTTCTATATGCCATATGCCAATAATAATGCTGCATTATCAGGTAAAGTTGACTCGTCCAGTTGTATAGAGAAATAGGTCGTTTGCAAATAATTACATAAGAAGCTTTCAATATCAGAACTCATTTCATCAATACGTCTTTCAACAGTATTGTTGCTTAAGGGAATTCTTTTATTGATATCAGATGCAGGTTTGTGTAAAACAGTTTTTAAAACCTCTTCAACGGCTGGCAAAATTAACTTCTCTCCGATAGTATGCGGTTTTCCGGATTTTGCTATAAGTAACGAGATATTGCAAGACGCCAGCAAACCATCATCATTTCTTTGTGACGTCGAAGCGCACATTCTGTCCAGTGTAGGTCTCTTCTGAAATTTATCTTTGAGTGTTTGAAAGTATTTCAAATCTTTCTCTGTTTTATCAGGGTGGCATCTTCTCAGATGATCTTGCATTTTAGATGGTTTCATAGGGTCATTGCCCAAAACTTTGTTGCATAAAAGGCACATAGGCGATTGTTTGTGCAAGGTAGCGAAGCTCTGAGACTACGACTCTCAGGTTTTTACAAGTTCAAAATGTATTGCGACCACAAAGCGAATACCAACATCCTACAACTTACACAATTTTATAAACATATATAATAATTTTTTTACTTCATCGGTACTTTTATAAATAATGTATATGTTTTGACATTATAAGATAGTATGATGTAAGTAAATAGGTACTATCAGTGTATGTGTTGAGATCCACTATCGTGGACCCCCATATTCATTTCATGGACCCCCAATTTTTTTTTCGCTGACGTAGACCCCTTGCAGGTTGTCATAGACCCCTAGGGGTCGATATAGACCACTTTGAGAATCAATGCTCTAGATTCTAGATGATTGATAAAAACAAATCCTTCTACCCAAGGGGCGGATTCAGGATTTCGTCTACGGGGGAGTGCAAACGATAGTTGGGGCTGGTCATTTTTTAACCTCAGTGGAACTTCTAGAATTTATCCTATTATTGCTACTTAAATCCATTGGGAGGATGGGAGGTCAAAGTCAGGCGGGTCTGTCTAGCAGGCACATCGCGTGGCGGCATCATGGAAGAGAGCGGGTTGGTGTACCGGTACAAGAGTGCTAGATCGCCGACGACCCGCCTGTGCAAAAGGGTCCCGAGACTGTCTGTTAGAGAAGAGTCATCGATCAGTTGGTCAGCATCGATCCTCTGGTCAGCATCGAGCATAAATAATGTAGTCGGGGCGGCAGCACCCCAAATGTGTGAGCAATACTCGAGGCTAGGCCTTATCTGGGCCTTGTATACAGGGTGGCCAAACACGTGACGTCATAAAAAAAAAATTAGATTCCCCACATCGAGAGGAACCCAAACCACCCCCATATATATGGTCCGATTTTGTTTAGTTTAGGAGTTATGATTTTTTTTCGGATTTTTCGAGAATTTTTGAGTTCTGTGTTTATTTTTACCATAACTTCGTTAATAATTGTGATAAATGCCTGCTTTTTTCACGATTATGTAGCTAAGACCTAAGGCTTAACTATCATATAATCATTCAAGTCATGTAACTAATACTACTTTTTAATTTTTTTCAAAATCTTCGAACATAACAAAAAAGTAAAAAAGTGCAACAACTTTGAACGTTTATAAAAAATTGAAAAAACATGTTCTTACTATTCGTAAGTATCTTAAAAACTTCCTTACGGTATCAGCTATTTACCGTAAAAATTTCATCAACCTAGCTTTACTACATGCTACCGTAATTGTGGCTCAAATAGAACCGAACCCAAAATTGGATAACCCTCTGTTCAATAGAAATTGTTAGTTTCGGAAAAAAAATTTGCAAAAACCACAAAAACACGTTTGATTTTTACTGAACAGCAGATTATTATTCATTTATGTTATTTACAAGAGGTTTTCAAAATGTCTGCCTCTAACAGAAATGTACAGTGTACACCTACGTATGAAATTTTGTTTTAAATCTCTAAATGCTTGTGTGTTGTTTTTCAACACATTTGTCGCTTCTTGAATTTTGTTCCTCAATGAATTTTCATTTGCACATTCTTGGGCGAATGTTATGTCTTTAAAATATCCCCAAACAAAAAAATCAATGGGGTTGAGGTCAGGGGAGCGTGGAGGCCATCGTATCGGTCCGTTTCGTCCGATCCATCTGTCTGGGAACCTTTCGTTTAAGTAGTTTCGCACGATCGTTGCGTTGTGGCATGGTGCACCATCATTCTGGAACACCATGTTCCGTCTGGCTTCCAGGCTTAAATCTTCCAGCAATAATGGTAGGCTATTTTCAAGGAAGCTTTTGTAGGCTACCGAATCCAACCTTGACGGCAGTTGAAATGGACCGATAAATTCCATATTGAATATTCCTGACCACTTGTTCACACTAAAACGGTGTTGAAATGTCGACGGCCTTGACTGGTGGGGGTTTTCAACAGCCCAAGTATGTAAATTATGGATATTGAATATCCCTGTTCTTTCAAAACGTGACTCGTCAGTCCATAAAATTTTATCAAAAAAATCGGGATCCTCTCGTTGTCTTCGCAGCATTGTCTCGCAGAAATCCACTCTTAACTGGTAATCTGAAGGCATCAACGCTTGAACTCTTTGAACATGATAGGCATGATAACCTTCTTCATGAAGAATATTTTGTATCGATGTTCGTGGTATTCTAAGGTTTTGTGCCATAGATCTCGTATTCGTTGAGGGATTCCGGCTAATTTCTTCAAGTACTACTTCTCTGCGATCCGGATCAGCTGTAGGATATCCTTCATTGCTTCCTCGTCCTGGAATGCGGCCTGCCATGAAAGTGTTATGTGTGTTAATAAAAACACGGTGGTCTGGGTAATGCTCAGGTTGTGGTCCGCCTCGGCGTATAAGTTGTTCCCGGTACAGCTGAGCTGCTAAAGCGCCGTTGCCTTGAGCAACGCCATAATAATAATGCATCGACATTTCAACACCGTTTTAGTGTGAACATGTGGTCAGGAATATTCAATATGGAATTTATCGGTCCATTTGAACTGCCGTCAAAGTTGGATTCGGTAGCCTACAAAAGCTTCCTTGAAAATAACCTACCATTATTGCTGGAAGATTCAAGCCTGGAAGCCAGACGGAACATGGTGTTCCAGAATGATGGTGCATCATGCCACAACGCAACGATCGTGCGAAACTACTTAAACGAAAGGTTCCCAGACAGATGGATCGGACGAAACGGACCGATACGATGGCCTCCACGCTCCCCTGATCTCAACCCCATTGATTTTTTTGTTTGGGGATATTTTAAAGACATAACGTTCGCCCAAGAATGTGCAAATGAAAATTCATTGAGGAACAAAATTCAAGAAGCGACACGTGTTGAAAAACAACACACAAGCATTTAGAGATTTAAAACAAAATTTCATACGTAGGTGTACACTGTGCATTTCTGTTAGAGGCAGACATTTTGAAAACCTCTTGTAAATAACATTAATGAATAATAATCTGCTGTTCAGTAAAAATCAAACGTGTTTTTGTGGTTTTTGCAAATTTTTTTTCCGAAACTAACAATTTCTATTGAGCAGAGGGTTATCCAATTTTGGGTTCGGTTCTATTTGAGCCACAATTACGGTAGCATGTAGTAAAGCTAGGTTGATGAAATTTTTACGGTAAATAGCTGATACCGTAAGGAAGTTTTTAAGATACTTACGAATAGTAAGAACATGTTTTTTCAATTTTTTATAAACGTTCAAAGTTGTTGCACTTTTTTACTTTTTTGTTATGTTCGAAGATTTTGAAAAAAATTAAAATGTAGTATTAGTTACATGACTTGAATGATTATATGATAGTTAAGCCTTAGGTCTTAGCTACATAATCGTGAAAAAAGCAGGCATTTATCACAATTATTAACGAAGTTATGGTAAAAATAAACACAGAACTCAAAAATTCTCGAAAAATCCGAAAAAAAAATCATAACTCCTAAACTAAACAAAATCGGACCATATATATGGGGGTGATTTGGGTTCCTCTCGATGTGGGGAATCTAATTTTTTTTTTATGACGTCACGTGTTTGGCCACCCTGTATAGTGAGAAGGTCATGCGGAGAAAAGTACTTTGGCAGAGCTCGGCCATCCATCGAAACCGGATAAGCTTTAGGACGCTTTTTGTTCGTCAAGGTACAGTACTGTGTTTTGGAAGCATTAAACTGTACAAGATTGTTGCGTCCCCAAGCAGTGATAACCTCCTGGTCTCTCGTCAGAGAGGAAGTCGTCTATTTTTCAGCTCAGCGGCAGAGATCGGCTGTCACTCTGAATTCCTGCATGTAGAGCGAAACTGTGGTTTGGGTTGATCGTGCAGCAAAAGAGGTCGTTGATATGATATGTAAGAGGAACAGCGTCGGAGACAAGACCGATCCCTGGAGAACATCCGCGTTGACATTGTGGGATGAAGAGTAGAACCCGTCAATCACGACGGATATCTTGCGGGCAGAGATAAAGTCAGCCACCCATCTGCAAAGCTTTTCTGGGAGGCCATAGGATGGAAGTTCATCATAAGACTGGATGAGGTTACTCCACAATTGCGTGGCGTAAGCTAGGAGGTCCCCTGTGGATCGCTTGTGTCGGAAACCATACTGCCTGTTGTAAGGGCCGGTCTTAGATCCCTTTTTTGGGTTGGGTTAGACATGAGCGAATTTCCAGTTTTCTGAGCACTCGTCTTACGATGTTGTACCTGAATGTTACTTCCCGCATAGTGTAGGGAACCCTTTGAATTGACGACACTTGGGCGTTGGGGTGGACGTCCATGGTGGAGTTGGCAGCAAAGGTCTTGGCAGGGACTTCCGCCTTGGTCTTTGAGTCCGATACAATCGTTTCATCCTGACACCTAAGTGGTGGAAGGCTGCTGTGTGAGAGTTTCTTTTCAATCTGCTTGGCCAGCGTCCAGAAAGACTGACTGCCATTGCGCTGTGACCCTGGTTTTAGGCACTTCCACTGGATGAGGGATGTATTCCTCCATTCCGACGTGGATAATTTTGGTCATCGAAGAACAGACAGCCGACGCATCCGCGTCAGTGAAACAGACATCTCTCCAAGGGAAAGGTAGAAAAGAAGTTTCTGCTGCCATAGCGGGTTCTGGCCGAAACCTGACCTCCACAACACCGTGCTCTGAGTTACCCAGGGGGGGGAAGGACAGCAGTGCTGTAAGGGACAGGATGCGTGGTCAGAAAGAGATCCAGCAGGCTACTGGCGTGTGACGAGACGCGGGGTAAAAAGCAGGGCTCGTCACCAGCTGGGCCAGCCCTTGAGTAAGAGCGAACGCTTCGACTGCACGACCTGCATCGGTCTTGTTTGAGCCCAACCAAAGCTCATTATGGGTATTGAAATCACCGAGAAGAACTACCTCTGAAGCGGGGTGATCGATGTTCAGGAAGTCGATCTTGACGGCGAGGTATTCAAGAAGGTCATCCCAGATATGGACCGAGGGAGAGCGATAAAGGCAGCAAATAAACTTGGGGGATGTTTTGGAGTTGAGGCGGTCTGATTCCAGAGAAACATCTTTGCGGAGAAAGACCACAACTCCCCCGTTCTTTCTCAGATTGGAGTGCACCTCGTAATTGGGGAAGCTAAGATGGTTATCGGTGCGGACTCTGAGATTTTGGTCTCCGCCAAGCAAAGCATGGCGGGACGATTGGATTGCAAGTAGTTATGTACAGTATCAATGTTGCTGTTAATCCCGCAGATGTTCGCTTTTTCGTGCCTGAATTTTTTGACCTCGATGATAACTGGAGTGGTATTCAAATTGCAATGAAATCCCCTAATACGAGTACCTATACCAAGAAGCGTCGACTATGTTCCTAACTTCATTTTGAGCCTTTCACTGATTTTGATTGATAACGTTCATAATCCTCCCAATATAATCAATTCTGTTGCTTGAGTGATGTTAAGGGTCATAAATAAGAATTTATAGGCAGCAGCGGTGGCCGAAGTAGTAGACTCTTCGGTCTCCTGATCAGTCGCCGTGCGCTGTGCGGGTTCGAATCCCGTCCCAGGAGAAATTTTTCTCTTGGCTATGGATGTTGTGATTGTCCGTAGGTGATAGACGGCCTCTGACTGTCGGACGCGGAGGTACCACCCGGCGGATTTCGTAGGCAGGGCCAGAATATATGCATGTTCCCTCGCCAGAGTCCGTGTGGCGTTCCCCCTTTCCCCTGTATCTCCCTATAGCCCCACGGTACCGCATGTGTGTTTAGGCCTTAGGCCTTCGTGGTAGTTCGAGTATAAAAAAAACAAATTTTATCTTCGATGTTCCCTCGAGTCCACCCTCCACCCGTCCATTCCGAGAATGGAGTGAGTTTACATCCGCAATTCTTAGTACTCGAGGAATCCACCAGGATTCCTTAACGCGTGTACAATCACTTGAACAGGAAGAAATTGTATACTGGATACCACAACTTCCGGAACAAGCATTTGCCACGGCCCCGCTCAGCAGGGGTTGGAAATCATTGTAAAAAAACTATCTGTTAGATCGTAATTATTTTGATTATGTATGTTTGTACGAAAAAAGTACATGAATATTGAGCTGTACCTATTCACGTGTAGTGCAGCAGCTCTGTGATTTAAACGAATTCAATATAGCAACATAAATAACATATACGAGAAGTGATGGGGGGCGTGTGGTATTAACTTTAAGCATCGATCGACGCAGTTTCTGGACAGGCCACAGGTGCACCGCTAAACAAATCTCATAAATATTCAATTTAGGCGTTCATCTAACATAGTGCTTCGCTGCAACACCAATTCCGAACAAAATCAGTAAGCTTTACACACTTTTTTCTATTGAGCAATAAACAGAACATAAATCACCTTTTAAGTGCAATCTGTATAGCTAATATATTAGGTACCCAGACTTGGATTTGTCAGAAGTCACAACACTCGTATATACGTATAAATCGTAAGAATTTTGCTCTAAACAAATGATGTCAAAGAGGGTCAGCATTTGGAGTACCAAAGGATACCAAAAAAAGCGCAATGATCAGTTCCTGTAGCTATAACTTATAGTTAGTATGCTTCTGTCGCCATGATGTGTCAGAAAGTAACACAATGGTGTTAGAATACAAAAGCAAGTGTCAGACATCTGGAGGGGGGCGCCCCCCGCACCCCCCTCTAAATCCGCCACTGCTTCAACCCGTATTCGAATTCATTGGACCGGTCCGACAAACAAATCCTGTACGTACCTGTCAAGCCCACAACCCCGTGCCACCCTTTCTACCTGCATGTCCCCGATTGGGGTTTTTTCGTATCGCATTATATTTGAATAATACTACTTTGGTAATCCCAGTTTGTTTGTTTTGTCGAATGTTTTTGATATGGCAGTAGTTGCCCGACAACTCATGCCAACCTTTCTACCTGTCCCTGGTTGGGGTTTTTCCGTATATTTTTTGTTGTGTCAAATGTTTTTGATATGGGCTGTATTTGCACGGCCGTATCTTGAATATATTGGGATAATGCTATTTTGGCAAGCCAGTTGATTACTGTGTCTTGCAGTGTTCGCTTCCGTGCTGTATTGCCTTTCTGTGTTTCTTGGTGTTTAAATAGTTTAGTTTTCCGGTTTTAAAAATGAGCCAGCGGGATGAAGAACTGGTGGAGGTTGTCCGGCAGTATACTCATTTGTGGGATAAGACCCATGCATTGTTCCGAAATAAAAACGCGAAAAACAACGCATGGGCCACAATTGCTGATATAATGCACATATCTGGTAAGCCAATAAATAATACTTGACTTGAAACACCTACATATCTGCCACCTGTCGGACTTAGTATTGAATAATATAATCATTTTTCCGGTTTTACAAAGTATGTGTAAAACACATTTATTAAAATAGCAATTCATCGAATTGCGGATTGTTCCCAAGAAAACTCGCAAGATAACAACACCACACGTTAGCGGTTATTTATCCGTCAATAAAGACAAGACGTAGGGATGCGCGATACGATACGATCTTTTAAAGTATCGATACTTCTGCTTTCGATACCCGATATTTTGTATCGATATTTTCATTGCGATACATCACTAATATCGATACTTTTGCTTGTATATCGGATCATACGATCCGCGGATTGAGAAAGTTGCGGCATCTAGTTATGACGAGTGTAAATCCCGCCAAGGAAATTTGTAGGTCGCTACTACATCGAAGCCGGCAGAGATGTAGTAGCGATGACATCTATCGTTGCCCATCATGAACCATCAAAGATGGAATCCACCGATGATTACTGTTGAATAAACGAAAGCGTCCTATACTATATTGTTCTGTGGTTGCCAAGGTGATCGACCATGTTGCGGGAAAATAGGGGAATCACCAGAAATCGTGGAATTGTGAGGTTAAGTTTTAATTTGTTTTAATTATCAAAGTAATTATAATATAGTTGCAGTAAAATTAGTTTTTCTGCCTTATCATGCCACCGATAAGAAGCAATGTGTGGAAAGTATTTGTGAAAACTAGTTCAGGAGGGAAATGCAAATTGTGTCAGTGTGTCGTAAAAACAGCAGGGAACACCACAAATTTAAAAAAGCATCTAAAAAGAAAACATCCAAATTATGATATAGATACACCTCAGGAAGAAGCAAAAAAGGAACAGAACAAAAACAATGTAGGTAAACGTTTATTTATAATATTTATTATAAAATCTGTCAGAATTTTTTTAGATACATTATGTAGTCACATTAAAAAGTCGATTATTATTATTTTAGCCTAACAAAGATTCATCGTCTGATGCTAATCAGCACTCAATTTCGAGTTGGTCTATAGTTTCTGCGGATGTTGATAAACTGGAAACACCAGATGAACCACTACCTTCCTGTTCTTCAGATCAGCAATATTCTAGCTCTGGTTCTAAAGGAGTGTCACTTTCTCGACAATCCTCAACAATTAGGTCATTTTCAGGTAAGTCGTCTTTGATTTTATATACCAGATGATCTTGTTTAACAGCTCATGTGTAGAGTTGTAAACTTGTGATTAAGAAATTACTTCTGAAAGGTTGAAACTTTTAACACTAAGAACAACTATGTATATTTTATTAGTTACTGTGTTGAGAAAAATGAACATTGGTATAGTAAAATTTTACATTTAATATACAGGGTCAACAAGAAATGAAAATTGGTGAGGTCATAAGTTCAAGTATTTAAATATTATATTACCCAAAACGGCCTGATTGAAGAGGTGGAAAATTAATGAAAAATTTTCACTTTTTTTAACATAATATGTATTTCATGTCAGGAGTATTTTTTATAAGCTTGTTATTTTTTGTAGATGGTGGTGGAAAAGCTGGAAAAATCACCAATGCTATCATATTCATGATCGCAAAAGACAACTTGCTAAACACTGTACAAAAAGAAGGTTTCAAATATTTCATGAAAACAGTTGCACCTTTATACCATGTACCTGATCGCAAAACACTATCTAAGTTAATTGATGAAAAGTACGGTTTATTATCAGGTATGTTTAAACAAAAGCTTCAAACAGTACACAATATCACAATTACAACAGACATGGACAGAAGTTAAAACAACAACAAGTTTCCTGGGAGTGACAGCACATTTTCTGTTGGATGGTAAACTAATTTCTCTGACAATAGGAGTGTATGAGTTGGACCAAAGACATACTTCAGAATATTTAGGGCAATTTCTTTCATTAATTGGTGAAGAATGGAATATTTCTGATTTAAAAATCACAACTGTAGTTACAGACAACGGAGCAAATATAGTAAAAGCTGTGTCTGACTTATTTGGGAAAAACAGGCATCTGCCCTGTTTTGCACATACGCTAGATCTGGTGGCATCAAAAATTATTGACAGTGAAGATGTAAAGCCCCTTGTTGTTAAAGTTAAATCTATTGTAACTTATTTTAAGCAAAGCGTATCGGCAGCCGATGATTTAAGAAGAGCACAGCCAGACAATAACATTTTAAGATTAATACAATCTGTGCCAACTAGGTGGAATTCGACCTTTTACATGTTTGACAGATTTACAAACTTATATGAATATATAGCTCCAATTTTACTAAAAAACCCAAAGTCACCAGCCATGTTAGATGCATCTCAATTGAAAAAGATAAAAGAACTTTTAAATATTCTATCTTCTATCGAGGCAGTTTCAAAAGAAGTCAGCGGCGAGCAATATTTAACATCAAGTAAGATTATACCTATTGTTAACTGCCTTTTTAAAAATATTGGAAATTTATCCCCATATTCTAAAGAAATATTAACTTTAAAAACTACAACAATTAATGAACTTTCTAAAAGGTTTGGGGCTATAGAACAAAATAAATTATTAGCTGTGTCAACCTTATTAGACCTCCGTTTTAAAAAACTACATTTCAATAGTCCAGTGGCATGTGCTAATGCTGTTACTTTTATCAACCAGTCAATTCAACAATTACGTGAATTGCATAACCAAGACCAAATGAAAAATGCTCCAAACTCACAAAGTCAAAGTGCTCAACCGCCTCAACCTCAACTAAATAAATCTCAAAGCTTATGGGCTCACCATGAAGAATTAGCTGCCAAACATACTTTAACGCAGGTGGATACTAGGGACAGCCTTGACTATGATTTTAAAATATATTTAAACAGCCAAACACTACCAATATTGTCAGACCCATTATCTTACTGGAGCATACACGCGTCACATATATTGAAAGAAATAGCTCATAAATATTTATCTATTGTGGGAACCTCAGTTCCATCAGAAAGGCTTTTTTCCAAAGCTGGAAATATTATTAGCCCAAACCGTAACAGGTTTAGTGGAGAAAGATTATCAGAGCTTTTATTTTTAAGTTCCTCAAATTTTGAAGACTGGAACCTATTATAGTTTTCTTTTTTTTTTATTTTTATAGCAGTTGAAGAAAAACCTGTATTATGTTGGTTTATATATGTTTATATTTATGTTGATTATAATATTTTAGTTTTTACATATCAACACTTGTTAGTTCAAGTTAAACATTGGAACTGTATTGTTTTATATTTTCTTTTATATATGTATTTTTTAATACGAGAATTATTTTTTATTTTTTTTTTTGTTACAAATGATTAAATGTGAAAATTATACAAACAAATATATTTGATTTTGGAACCCAAAATTTATTAATCAATCATATAATGATTTAAATTCAAACACGATTCCTAATTTTTTTGTAACGGATAAGATTACGACTTACAGAATAACCGTATCGAGGTATCGATACAATTTCTCACGATACGGATCGATACCAAATATCGATACATTGAAGAATATCGCGCATCTCTAACAAGACGTACGGTGAAATGTCAATCTTGAATTGTATTGTATTCGTCAATAATCAAATCCAAGCGAATAACCAAAATTTCTGTCTTATGTGCCGCGCGGTTATAATATGGTTCAAGATGACACATGGGTTGATGACGTCAGTTACACGAATCGCTTGAACGCGTTGGTTTTAACCGCAGTTTTGTTGTAAGTTGTTTATTTTAGAAAAGCGCGTATATAATCTCTGATTATTTTTATTATCACTGAATAATCGGTGCTTTTTCGTCTACAACTGTATATGGAAAGTTTTAAATAAGAAACTTTTCATAATATTCATGGGAGAAATGTTTTTTCAGATTTTTTTTTAATGATGGAACCATGGCTTTGTAGCTATGATAACTTTCAATTCTCTAAATTTTTCCGCATGTCAAAGAAAACATTTATTGATTCAGCAGAAATGATGAAAAAAGAAATTAGCAAAATTGTATACAGGTGGATATCATCTAGTGAGTTTATATGGCCATATTTTAATATTCTTGTGGTATATGGCTACACAGGATACTTTGTTAAGCATTTTAACTACATTTAAAGTGTCCCCAACAACCGTAATGAGTACAACTAATAAGGTGCTCCACTTTATGGTAAAACTGAAGTCAGCCTGTATCATTTTTCTCAAAAATGAAGCTGAAGTACAACAACAATATCCAATACCCGGCAAAATTCTAACTTGTCACATTTCAAATAATAACCAGAAATATAAAACTACTCTTGAGTTGGGTAAATACCACAATTTTGCGGTGATAACTATGACATATAACAGCTGATTCGTGACGTCACGGATCTTATAACCAAACTGATAACTACACTCGCTTGAACGGATTGGTAAATACCAACCCAAAATGGTAAATACCATTTCCATTTGGTTATCCGCTTGAATTTGATTAATGTGGCTCATGAGGCCAAAACTTTTCAGGAAAATATAGGAAATAATAGTAGGTATAGTTAGTGTCCAAGAAAGCATAATATGGATAAATGCATAACACAGCTGTACATAATTTGTAACAGGAAAACCATCATTTAACGGTATTTATTTTGAAATGTGCTTTTAGCTTAATTCAGGACTGTTGTTGATAGCAAAAACAAATGTATTTCCCTGAAAAAAAAATGCTAAATATTTTTTCAATGCCGCTCAAAACGAAAACAAAAAACCACCCTATGAGCTAAGAAAATAAGGGCCCTCCGGTGCCTTATCCTAATATCTCATGTAGGTAGATAGCCAATTTGGAATCTATGTTAGCAAATGTTCTAATTGGGTATCATGTAATCAATGAATATATTTCAGCTGCCCAAGCCATTAACAGGTGGACCACTTTGAAGGCGAGATATTTAAAAGAGCGGAAGAGAGCATTGGAATCCTGTTCAGGCACCGCAGGTGGTACTGAGGCAGAATGCCCACTATACCAAAAGATGGGTTTTTTGGATCCGATGATTAACCCTAGAAGGTATGTATAAGTAGGTATAGACTTTTTCACAAGTACCCATTATGGTACAATGACAGCTGATTATTTAGTAACATTTCATAATTCCACATATCTGCAAATGACACAATTCTGACACATTCGTCAATTCTACGACGTTGCACACCATACTGTCACTTTCTGAGCATGAAGAGGTGATTCATGAAGCATACGAGGGTTAGCCTCCGCCCAGTATCTAAAATTTTGTCTGTTAACAAAACCGGAGAGGTGAATATGTGCCTCATCGCTCATCCACAAGTTGTTAACCTGGTCATCAATTTCTTGAAGCCTTGCAAGCATAACCTCACAAAATCTGAGACGCTGTTGATAATCATCCGGGTGAAGAGATTGAACAACCTGTATTTTATACGGGTGATATCGAAGATCTTGATGGAGAATCCTTCTCACCGATCTGTCACTTAATCGAAGGCGTGTGGCGTGACGGATGGCCGATCGACGTGGACTTCTTAAAATGGCTTGTCGAACACGTTCAATTATTTTCAGGGGTTCGAATCGTTCTGGCACTACCACCTCTTTCTCTAGACGTCGATCCAGTTTGCTCGAGGACGCGTTTGCACTAAACTCTCGCCATTTTGGTAATAAGCCTTAATTGCGTAACCGCGATGCTCACCCGTCCAACGCTCCATTGTAGACTAAATGGCAAGCCACTCGGGTCCCGGCAGGTCTGTGACTGTCCTCCCTACCACTTCACCGCCCGCTGCAAGCCCCACCTCAAATCTTCCCGTTTCATTTCCGGACCCTGTAGTTGATTAAGTTTTGTTTAGCTTTTTGATGCTATAGTATTTTGACAGTATGCAATGTTTAGACCTTTTTCCTTTTTTATTGTGCATATAAATTTTTGTTAGCATTTCAAATTCAAATTCTTTTATTATCCTAAGAGACATTACAAAGTATGTATAGGATTCGTCGCAATAAAAACTAATAAAACAACACAAAATAAATATATGTATAAAACAAACACACAAATAAATCATAACATAACAAACTCAGAGACGGCATAATAACATTTACACACAAGAAAATCTATCAGTTTAGCCTTAAAATTATGTATATCTCCACACTCTTTAATATGGTTTGGTAGCCTGTTGAAAATTCGTGGACCCAGTATTTCCGGAGACCTGACGCCGATCTTATATACTTGCCAAAATACACATTTAAGTCTCTAGCTTGTCTGGTCGAGTACGAGTTAAAATTGTTTAAAAACTTAGTTTTGTTAATAAAAGTATACACAGCCATTTCGTATAAAAATAAAGATGGTAAAGTTAAAATCTTAAGGCACTTAAAAATATCCTGACAAGAATGCCTACTGCTGACTTCCATCATGCATCTAACCACTCTTTTTTGGGCCAAAAATACTTGCGGGGCATTTGTGGACAAACCCCAGAAGCACAATGCATACCTCAGTCCTGTCTCAACTTGAGCATAGTAAACAGAAACTATCTATGCTTTGGTAAGGACAGTTCGCAAATTTTTCATAAGGTTTGATTGGGAGTTTATCTTTGAAGCAAAGTATACACAGTGGTCTTTAAAATTCAAACCTGTATCTAGATACAAGCCCAATAATTTAACTTGTGTGTTAAGAGACATTCTTGAGCCTTTAAAAGTGGTATTTAATGTCCTAAGCTTCTTATGGATGTTGTAAAATTGGTGCTAAATGAATACCTTGCAATAAAACTCCACAATATCTCTCTAATGTAGCCTCACACTTATTCGATATCACCACCGAAGTATCATCTGTATATAAAATGAATCTACCTTCAGAGGAACAGAACTCAAGGTCATTTACATATAGACGGAATAGCACAGGTCCTAGAATAGAGCCCTGAGGGACGCGTATGGAGATGTCAGCTATGTCGGACTTAATAGGCGCATTCAGACCACTATCGACGATACTCACAAATTGGTACTTATTCTCTAGAAAAGACCTTATCCAGTGATATGGTGGACCATTTATGCCATACTTTGACATTTTTTGCAACAGCACTTCATGATTGAGGCAGTCAAATGCCTGAGATCACAAAAGATCCCAACAGGGCACTCGCCCGCCTCAATCATTTTGACAAAGGTTCCGTAGAAGCTGTGAATTGCTGTTGCCGTTGATTTCCCATTTGGAAAACCGTGCTGATTCTCTGTCAAAATATTATTATTTAACAAAAACAACCTGTCGAGGTAGCAGTACTGGAATACTTTTGAAAAAGTTGATGGTATTGTTACTGGTCTATAATTACTCAGTTCAGAGGGATCCCCTTTTTGTATACTAGAATCACCTTTCCTGTTTTTAGCAGACAAGGAAATTTCCCAGTGCAGAAGGATATATTGATCATGAAGACCAGTGGCTTTATAATGTAATTCAATGCTTTTTTTACTATAAAATTTGGGATCGCATCAGGCCCAGTCGAATGTTTGTTTTTTAGCTTTTTATTAATTAAGTCAAATAATTCATCATCAGTAAATGGATACAGCAACATCAAATGCCGTGTATCCTCCCTGCTCGAACTAACTAAAGGTATTATCATGAATGGGATTTGTTGGAATATTTCTGACGATTTCTAGAGGTGCATTTTTGAAAAACTGGTTGAATTCATCAGGACGGTTTTTCTGATTGGATCTAGTAGTCGAACTCATATTATTGTTTTTTTTGTATTATTTCCGGTCAGTTCAAAAACAGGCTTCCAGGCAGTTTTAGTTTTGTTGCTGGAATTAAATATTTTTTTCTGATAATACCTTCGTTTTGTATGTTCTGTTAATTTATTGTGTTGTCTCTTTTTTTCAATTTATTGTTGTTTACATTCTGGAACTACTGTTGCTAAATAATGAAGTTCCTTTAAATTGTGACTAGAACGCACTATTTCTTCGTTCACCCTCAATTTTCGTTTGGTTGAAACCGTATGCATAGGTAGATAAATACCTCAAAAAAAAAGTCCAAACGCGAGGCTAACATCGATCATGTTATATAGTAGAGACCAATCTTCAGCACATAGATCTGACATGAATTTGTTTATTGAGTCTTCATCGTAGCACCTTTTCCAGATATTATTAGGTTTGTTTTTTGTTGAGATGTTTTCATGGAATTCGAAGAAGACTGTCCTGTGGTCTGACATATTATTCTCTAAAGCGCAGGAAGTACCACTGACCTCAAAATTTGTAAATATCTGATCCTTAGTGCTGACTGAACTTCGTCCTATTTTTGTCGGCCATCCCACTGATGGAGACAAATTGAATTCACTGAGGACACTATTCAGGTTTCCAGATTCAGGACCTTGATTGTAATAATCTATATTGAAATCGCCACATAAAATTATGTGGTGGTACGGCTGATAAACGGAATGTATTGCTTGACCTAATTTATCGTGGAACACTTTTATATCCCTTGAAGGTGATCTATAACATTCAATTATAATCGTGGTTATACCGTTGTCCTTAAATTGAGAAGCACATAGTTCTATGTGTTTTTCAACACAAAAATTAGTAAGATCTTTTGGTAGATACAGTTTTCCGGGTATATAAGGCTGTGCCCCCTCCTTTGAACTGTGATCTACAATAGTGCCTATAAATGTGAAAGTCGTCGATTACAAAATTTCTGGTTGACTCGCTCAAGGCCCAAGTCTCAGTCAAACACACGAAATTTATAATGCTAAAGTCCATCATTGTTAAGAGCAACTCATCAACTTTGGTCTGTGTATACACATGGGGTGTGAATTTCTATTGTCAATTTAATGTGAACAGATCCCAAATTGTAACATTACTAAATAGATGATCTATTATTTTCAGCGCCCGCAGCAACATTCAGTCTGATGGCTCATCTCAAACAACGAGTGAAGTGTCGGATACATTGGCGACAATAATGGGAATGGTAGAGGATGCGCCGCCATCTCCAAATGAGGAGAATCAGGCGAGCACTCCACAGGCAGACGCGGATACACAAGGTCAACCAGAAAGGCCGGAGTCTCAAGGGGCCTCGTCGTTACCCGAGAAGAGACTCGCGCATCGTCGTCGACAACTGTTAAGGAGGGGTAACGCATCCAGAGGCGTCCGAGTACCCGTACAGGTACAAATATACAAGCAGATATTGGGGAAAATGGACGAGCTAATACGCTTTATAACGCAGCCTGAGGTGGAGAACGAGGATATTCTCTTCGGTCGGGCATTGGCCATGTCTTTGTCACACGTAAGAAGCCGCCAGAAAAAATTGCAGTTCAAAACTGAAATTATGCGGCGGCTTGAACAGATCGTAGCCGAGGAAGAAGCAGACCAGGATCTGCAACACGAGGCATAAGAGGGATGGAAGCGAAACCTATTTTTTCAATTTAAAACAGTTTTTATGTCATTCTGTATAAACGCTTCTAACCACATAGGAGTTTTCGTCAAAACAACTACATAGTGGGATATATGGAGCTGCTGATTTTCATAAGTTGAAACGTTATTGTACTAAGCTCTGATGTATAGTGTTAGAAATTTTATTTTAATATATCTGAGTGGAGATGGTTTTATCGCTTTTGACAGTATTAGATAAATACATACACTCAAAATGCGTTTCCAGTTCTGGTTGAGCAAGTGTTGAACTTTAATTGACATTCTTTTTACTGTTTTAGGTATTCAATGTACCCGCGCTGTAACGTGAAATGTGTATCATTTTTTTATATAAATTATCAATGCTTTTGCAAGAACAAATTCTCGGGTTGTTTGCATTATTTGTAACAAAAGGCTTTCATTAACTTGTCTCTAAAGCAGGCCTGATATTTGAGTTCGACGTGATATAATGTGTGAACTGCCATAAAAATGGATATGGTCAATGCTTAAAACCATATGTTTTAAGGTCGCCAAGTATATACATTAAAGTTAAAACCTTGCCTTAGCAGAACAGGAATAGGATTATGAGGTTACTTTATATTAAATCTTTTTTAATGTTGACTGTTAATCAGAAATTTTCGAAGTTTTGTTTTTCGCTGAGTAGAACTACTTCTTAGCAGATAAAGTTCAAAATACTACCTCAGGTACTCTGTGATTTTTGTGCAATCCTTGTTATACATATCCTATTTCACGAGTATTCATTACGGTAGAATGACAATCCAGTAAGATTTCAAAATTCTCCATATCGCCAAACGACACATAATTCTGACGAGTCCGTCAATCCAAGGTAGACAGAGCCATATTTTATTTTGTCTTTTTGGATGCTACAACCTCGGTTATTTAGCAAAGTTTGGATTGGATAAAAAACGCTACAAAATTTTTTTGCTAGATTTACACCCGATTCATTACAGCCAACGTTGCAGACTAACACAAAAAAGTCACTAGCTGATCAGCTGCTTACCTCAGTAGACGTGAAAGCGTGATGGATACTCGTGAATTAAAATGTAGGTTGTATTTATACGCTAGTGGTAGTGCTGTGGGACATTCAACTTGATATATGGCTAATGGTTGTCATTGCTTTGTGATATTGATTTTTCGAGATATATATATTTCTTGACTGACATCCAGATTTTGGAATACACTCCTTTATTAGTGCCTTGGATTTGCAACGACAATGATATAGATTTTGTGTGGTATACATATACGCACTAATAGGTGCAGTATGCAAGAAATATGTTAAGTGTTACCGTAAAACTTTGCTCCACATTTTGACATTATATTCAGTAATTTTTAATAAATATCTTATCAAATATCCTAAAAATTTTGCAAGTACTTAAATCAATATTAGAGATATAAAAATACGTGTTTACCTAATTTAAAGATAAGATATAGACCCAGGTTTAAATTATGTACATTTGAAATCTGGTGCAAAGTAGGCCATACGATGGGTTTACTTTGCACCACTTCATTTAGGATTGGTTTTTCTATAGTAAAATTTATGTGGGGCAAAGAAACACCACTCCATTATCAAATTTAAGAACGTGCGATTCTTTTGGTGTAGGAATTTTCAATTTTTGAGGCGATTTAGTCAAATAATCAACACATTTTAAGATCGTAGTCATTTATTATTTAAAAAATAAAAGAAATTAAATTTTATTAAGGCAGAACAGTTAACCTAAAATAAAATTCCACCAGTATCGATCGCACTCAAGTACAGAATACAAACCACGTTTGGTCATTTGCTTAGGTGCATTTATTGCACCAAGTATTTTGTCCCAACTATACCAAATTTCATCGGCTTTTTCCGGCCATTTCCAAAACTTCAGTGACTTGACCATCGCGTTAATCTTAACCATTTCGCCCTCAGTTTCGGTAATGACTCCAGGATAAGGCTTGCCATCATACAAGACTAAAACATACTCGCCAACTGACCTCTGGATATCTTTTAGACCAGATTCTTGAATTTTTTCAGCCGCAGATTTAGCAAAATAACCAGATTCAAGTTTTTTATTAAATTCAATTTCCTCCTCCATGTCTTGTATCTCATCAACTTCATCATCTGAATCTCCAAGTTCTGGAAGTTTATCTGACTCCTCGTCTTCAGAAACTTCATTCGCCCTTTGTTTTTGAGAGTGTTTGGATATTGGAGCTGTAACTATTCCCGAAGTCCCAGGTAAATCAGCAGAACCGATTTCGCCGTGAGCAATGCTTTTTCCGGCTGGAATTGTTATTTTTTTCTTCCTTCCCCAAACTTGAAACTGAGTAGCCTCTGTCCTTTTATTTTCCAAAGATTCAAGAAACGATTTTTCTATTTCAGATACATTCTCTCGATTGACGACACTGTTATGTTTGTTATGTAATCGTTCTAATAAGGGACCTACATCACAAGGAACGATTCCACATTTTCTGAATCCTGAAATTAAATTTGAAGCACTATTTTCAGAAATTTTCTCCATCAGTCGTCTGAGAAGTGTCGGAAAGTGTTGTTTTTCGAGCACATTTGACCTGCTTCCAACGTGGGATTCTTTATAATGTGATAAAATTTCACGCCATGCCTTTTTCAATGGAGCGAAGAATGCCACATCTAAGGGTTGTGTTACATGAGTGCTATTTGGCGGCAAGCATACAAATTTAATATCATGGTCCTTACAAGCTGCTAACACATCAACATTCAAATGGGAAGATAAATTATCGCCGATAATAACCTTTTTACCTTCAATTTTTTTTAATGTTGGCAACAACAGCTGAAAAAACCAATCAGAAAATGTTTCTGACTCAAAGCACCCAAATGCTGTGTTGGCGTAGCGAGTACCAGGTGGGCCATTATTTGTCCACGTGTCCCATAAATGTTTTGATTTGTATACCACATAAGGTGGTAGAACCTCACCTGCTGCATTTCCTGCAATCATTAGGGATATACAACTTTTTGATGAATCAACTATCCTTTCTGGGTATTTCATGCCCCGTTTGGTTAAAACTTTTTTTTGACCAGGATTGTCTGTTAAATTGGACTCATAGTTGAAAATTGCATTTGGTGGAACCCCCTCCAAGGTTTGCTTCAAGTTTTCTACATAATCCTGCATTTGCTGACCACTGAGAGCTGCTCTGCTCCGCTTAATGTTGGTGGCAAACCTTACTGTTAGGTCCTTATGCGTCTTCAAGAAAGCTTTAACCAAGTCCTTGCCAGGAAGGTTATCTTTGAAGCGGGGTATTCTCCTACCTGTGGAAGAGGAATAAAATAAATTTAACCCTTAACAGGAAACGTGAATTTTTGGAACACAAAAGGAAACATGCCGTCTCTCAGACTGCGAACTTCAAGATGTTCAAAAAATTAGAGTAAGGCGAAAAGCAAGCAATAACTTCGCTGAAACTGATACTGGATGTTTATTTTATGTGTTTAATACGTAAAATGCTCATTTCAAAATGATACAAGAACATAAAAGAAACATTTTTATTAACTATGCTAAAACCATACAAAAATAACGCTGTCAGAAACTAAATTAAAACTATGGAAAAGTCTCAATATTTTTCTATTTTCTGGTTAAGTAATGAACAAGGAAAGTATATTATAGTCAATAAATACAAAAAGAACACAATCAAAATTCACTGCAAGTCTCAAACATTGCCTATATTTATGCAGCTAATACATTTGGGTTTGGAGCATTGAAGACATACAGGCTTCCTACATTGTACACACAAAAATTTGGTCATCCGATGGGTCGTTCGGTGACATAAAAAGCAGGCTTTCCTTTTTTCCAAAACCAAATTTTCAGCTTCTGTTGCTGGATGTTCACATTTGCCAAGGATGCGATTTATCGTAAGTCGCAAATCCCGAGGTAAACGGGGACTCTCTAGTCGCTTTTCCATATGCTCACGGACCAGGTTAGCGGCCAACATCTTAGCAAATACCGATTTTTCCTTCTGCAATTCATTTTTCTTATAGCACTGGTGTAAAATATACGAGTTCACTACCGATATATCCAATAGTCGGTAGAAAATAACCAGTGGCCACCTACGCGAACGGCGACTTGAGGTACTCTTCGAACATTTTTCATCAAGAGAACTCCACCTTTATTAGCATTGTAATAGGCTATTATTTCCGGTTTCTGTGTTTCCGGATCACAATATTTTCTGTGGTTCATAGAAGATATGAGTATTGTGGCTTTATTTTTTTGCTTACATGAGACACAATAGTGGAATCTTCTCGAAATCCGTACATTGTTGATCCGACTTCTCTTGATTTGTTGGGTAAAAATGCCGGAGGAATTTCTCTTTTATTTTTCTTCATTGTACCCACATAGGTCAGTTTGTTCTTCAATAGGACATCCATTAATTCTATTGACTTAAACCAGTTGTCCGCTGTAATGTTGCGATTAGTTCCAAACAGAGGCTTCGCGAGACGTAGAACTGATTGTGTGGGTTTGGAATACCGCTTGTGTTCCTCAGGAAGTTCGAAACTATCGGAATCTTTACCGCAGTATATATATGCGTTATAGAGGTAGCTATTCCTTGCATCCGTCAATGCCATAATTTTTATGCCATATTTGCAAGGTTTCGCAGGCATATACATTTTAAATCGACATCTTCCTCTGAAACTCACGAGCATTTCATCGACAGTGACAGACTGGCCAACTCCGTACACATCTTGACAGTTCTTTATAAAACTATTAAAAATGAAAGATATTGGTGCTACTGGATCTAGCTTCTTTCTTTCATTCCTGTCATCTGGGTTATCAAACCTTAAGGCTGACAGGAGAATACCAAATCGTTTTATGTTCATGACAGCTCTGAATATATCTCTTCCAGAGCCATCGGTGGCAAAAAGTGTTTCAATGTTCTCGTGGTTGCTGTTGAACACCGATGTATATACTAAGAGACCCAATAGTGCCTTTATTTCGACTAAATCAGTGTCGTTTAGGTTGCTGGTTTGATTTTTGTATCTCTTTCGCATTTCTTTGAGCTTGTGATTGGTCCACTTAACGATATGTACCAACATGTCGTCAGTGAACAAAAGCTGCCAAACCGTCAACGGAGCTGCTTCTTCTCCATATTCATGAGCTTTTCCTCTTAGAGTTGGTACTTTAATGACTATATTGTGCTTCCTTGTACGTGATGATGGTACAACTTCCAAAATATTCCACCTATGACGATTTTTTCCATAGAAATAATTCTGAGCTGGTAAATCCTCTTCATTTCCTTCGGCTCCGTCTTCTGATAACTCACTATCACTTGTATGATCTGATTCCATGTATTCGTCTTCTGAGGCACTGTCTATATCACTAAAGTCACTTCCTTCATCCTCAAACCATTTTAGAACGGTTTCTTCGAAATCCGGATCATCGATTAGATGGGTTTTTACGTCTGTTAGAGGTGCAATAAAAAAAGATACGCTCAGGTATAGAAACGCCGCAGTCTCACAGACGGCACCTTTCCGGTTAAGGGTTAACAGAAATCAACAATGCCTATTTACCCACTTTTCTTATTCAAAAATGTCCTGGCTATTTGACGAAGCTCTATCTCAGTCACCGGGAACCCGAACTCGCTCATTTGATGAACGCAGGAAACAAAAGTCCTTTCTTCTTCTTCTTCTTCTTCTGTAAATGTAGTAGGGTAACCTGGTTTGTTCGTGTGTACATATTTCAATTTATTCATAATGGTCCTCCGTGGTATATTATAACCTTCCGCGGCTGTTCTGGTACTCATTCCATTTCTAATCGCTTCTAAACATTTATCCAAGTTTTCTTGGGTGTAGTCGCCATACCTCCGCGAGCCTGGCACCCTCTTATAAACCCTTGGCATCTTCTAGAAACAACAAAACTAGATAAAGAAAATTCACTGGGATACTTTGCACCACTTTCGTGGGGATACTTTGCACCATGACGCTGGTGCAAAGTTTCCCCATTTAACCAAGGAATGTGCATGTATAAACAAAAACGTCAAAAAATAATTGTTCCTATTTAAATTGGACTGTTGCAGTGCGTACACAGTTAAAACAATAATAATACATACGAATGAGATAATACTTACATTTTGTTGGCAACTGGGGCTCTCTCACCATCAAGATTTTTACACCCAACAAATAACACAAATTTTGAGGTTAGATTTTTGAATGCAACTATCGGCGTGTGGCCGGCGACCGAAGCATATTAATTCGACTCCTGCGGCTATTGTAACTCCCTCTATTGGATAAAAATAGTAATTGCTAGAAATTTACCAGTGTATCTTGTAAAGGGATAATAATGCACTTTTACACGCACGGTGCAAAGTTAGCCGACGGTTGGCAAAGTAACCCCGTTTTACGGTACTACTATATTTTATTTATTTATTTATACACTTGAATAGTTAACAATAAATAGGTACCGTAATCAACAGTAATTTCCAAGTCGATATGTCAACTTTTATAACAATTGCAACATCCATTCAATGGTATTTGAATATTATCATAATTATTTGGGTATTCTTAGCGTGGCAATATGTGTATTTGGTAGGTACTGACGGTCCATATAAGTATGTGTATGCGGCCGTCCATGTTCGTGAAGTGTAATGTTTGAAAAAAGACACAATGTCAACTTGCTGACTAGACAACTGGTAGGATGCAAATAGTTCATTCCATGCCTGAAATAGGTGAGCATGAAGTGAACAACAGCTTCTCCCAAGCTGAGCTACATAATGTCATCCAAAACAGCAGGGTTAAATATCGAGGAGGGGCTATATGTCATAAACTTTTATATGGTGATCTTGCGTAGATTTGACTGTCAGTTTCTTTTACTAAAATAAAAGACTTTTATTATTAACATATATGGGAAACCGTATTTGGCATTGGAGTTCAGTGGCAGAAGCCTGAGCTCTGAAGGCCCCTACCCTAACTACGCCGGTGACAGAACGGTGTATCTGACGTTCCAATAATTTAGTGCTTCCATTCACTTCTACAGTATATTGTCTTGCTGAACAACAGTATACGGTTATAGCCATAATACCAAATATGAGACGAGATTCGTCTGTTCCAAAAATAAAGACATGAAAGGACTCTGTGCTGTAATAGTAGTCTCCTTGCTTGTATGAAGGTCATCATATGGAACAACAATGAAAACAGCAATTGGCATGCTCAAACAGTTTGTTGATGATGGCTGAACAGCAGCTACTTGACATATGTCCACATCTACAAAAATCAGTAATATCCAGTCATGTTTTCCCATTCATGGAAAATTTATTATCCACAGCCATAGAGGTACCCAATGTAGAGATATAAACAAAAGGATATAGTAAAAATAATCAAGAAAAAGATAATATCAGAATCTGTGGCATTTTAAATAATAATTTAATTATTACACTTGTTACAAACTGTTACATTTTTTCAATGTTCTTCACATACATACCGATTGCCCCGAATACAAAACTTTCGGGATTTCCTGTCTTTACGTCTGTCGCATAAGAAATATCGCTGCTGTGTACCAATAACGGGAACAGGCTGTTCATTACTTAACATTTAATTCAGACAAAATGGTTGACGGATTGTTTTATATTGGAATGTCAAAGCTTGTCATTATGGTACATACGAATTATAGTTTTCCCTATTAATTCTTGGCCCAACTTCAACAAAAACATTGTTCTTCTGTCCAAACGATTTTTTACAATCTGGATTTTTCAACGCCCATAGCTTATAGGCATTGAAGCCACCAATGACCAATAGATAGAAAAATATTGCCATCGGACACCGATTACTCTTTGAGTTAAAATAAGTATTTTAGAAAATACCCCCAAAAATTGATGTCTTTGTTAACAAAAGTGCTATGTTTAAAAACTGCACTGTCATGACTGGACCCTGGTAGCCTTATGTCTACCATGGTAAAGCAACAGGACGCATCGCACGTGGCCATCGACATACGGCTGAATGATTTTTTATAGTTAAAATAGTTACTACCGGAACGTTTTGGAGCCTGCACATGGACGTGCTTACCGCCAAAAGCACCCAAACGATTCGGCATATTCCATTTTGTTGTGAAGTCTTCCACAATACTTTGCTATTGCTCCCAGTTTTTGGCTGTTGCAGCACTATACGCTGCAAGTGCGTCCATAACACCTTGCAGGTGTCCTTAATTATATAGTGGACTGTTGACTTTCCCACATAGTAGTCCCAGGCTAGTTGTTGCATGGAACAGCCTTCCGATAGCTAAAAATAAAACCATTAACATTTCTGTATCTACCGGGTAACTTTTTAGGGAGGGCTTGGTCCATCATTCTGATATTTCACATGGGCTCAAACATGTTAAATAAAAACACCTGCTAAAAAAAGTATGCTCCCTATTTGGACCATATTTTTAACACTTCCGGGTAATTCATTACTACCTGGATACAAAAAATACAGTTTTTGAATGGAATACCCACATCTCACTGTCGATTTGGATATGCCACTTCAAACATTAATGCATTATCCCTTTTGTAATTCTATTAATAAATGGAATTTGTCCCCTTACAAAGATGTTGTTGGAGGGTATAATATTTATATATCCATTTTACTAGCTCACAATTGGAAGCAACTTTCACACATCTATATAATGTATGCAACATATTTGCATGTTTAAAAATATGTTGCAAGTGAATTCCTGGCGGGACTATGGGTACTTAAAAATTGACAAATGAGTTTTTGTTTAAAGATAAACTAATAATAAGCTTAACAAATAAATTTAACCACCTGCAACTATACAGCACATAACAACTGCAAATGTTTGGTTGTCTTTTTTCGCTAGGCATCACTACTGAGTTGGCAGGTATAGACTGACATGTTGATACTAGTTATTTGTACCAAATTGTTTAATAAATAAATATTATATGCAAATAAACACTTTTTCATTGCCAATATATCCATTTGCATATAACCAACTTTTCATTGTGAACATGATGATATTGGGGTTGTCTGCAAAAAACCTGTGTGTTGTTGAGACAATATATGTCATCTATGTATGACTGTCCTATTTTATAAGAACTAAAAATTGAATCAAGTTCCAAGTAGAAACTGTTGATGATACTCCTACATTCAATGTAAATTATCAAATACACAGATGACCTTCCACATACCAAACACATGACAATTGCCATTCATTATCAATTTTAGCTACCCTCACTGCTATTTATTTCTCAACCCGTATTGACGCCGTCTCGCTCCGATATCCTGTGTTAACCTATCGCCTCATCCTTCTTCCCAATAGCAACATGCATCGATCATCACGATTATCAAACTTTGTACTACATCGAAGTCTTCTACCCATTACCCAATTCCAGCTGTAGCGATCAGCTGATCCACGCCACTGATACGATTGGTCCGTTCTTAAGGAAAAGTTCAATATATTGAACTTTATCTTAAGAAATGACCTTAAGTTTTAATGTGTCATTAATTAAAGAAAAATCAGTTCAGACAATTCTGTTTATAAATAGGCATCTTTGGTCAAATCAATGAATTCGCCAGAAATTAAAATTCGAGAATGGTTACAACACATTCTCGTCGCTCCTGCAAAATGTGTTGCTATCTCCTGGTTTATGATAGCAGTATAGATGTCTTTCTCTCATCATGCTTTATTGTTTGGCTTATGATCAAAACCACATATCAGATTATCAAGAGTCAAGTAATTGAGATAGTTGATTGGAACATTCAATTTTCCAGAAATAATGCATTGGTACCTGTGAGAGATTCCCAAACACTAAAAAGTTCCTAAACATTATGTACAATGGATTTACAAGGTTTTAAACAAAGCTCTGAGATATCTAAACCTATGGATGCCTATAATAGCCATATGGCAAGACATCATGCACACATCACATAGGAAAGCAGCTATACCAACAATAGACTGGAGACATCATCAGCCAATTCCACCAAAAGCTACCACCAGTGATGATTGGTAAGTTTGGCATTTCTCAATTTAACCAAATATTACCAAATCTTTAGAATGTACTTAAGTTGGGTGGGAGGATCATTTTTATTAATAATTAACTTCTGAACCAAAGTATATATGTAATTGGTTCTGACTGTGAAAACAACTAGCCACTTGGAAGGGCATATATCTATAAATATTTTTTTATCCATACTTTCTCCATTATTATAATTTTCATATAGTTTCTCCTCCGAGTTTTGAAGGAATTGTATGGTTTTAGATCATCCTTCAACTTCTGCTTTGCTACCAATACACAGTGAGTGGACACTACATCTTTGGCTACTACCTCTACATAGCAAGTAAGTCTAAAGTGGAATATGCTGTGTAAGTCCGTTTAAGCAAGTAAGCATAACGATATGGAATGGATGAATCAGGCCAATTTAACAAAAACATTTGTGTTTAATCATTCAGACAATTTTTACTGTTTTCATTAGATATCTGAACATTAGAAGAGCAAACTAAATTTTAATGAGTTAACCATATCAATCATATGAATTCATATTCATTTATGAATGAAACATATTGGGTTGAGTTGGAAAAAAGAAAAACTTTCATCCAGCCAACCATCTGTCTCATGCTTTTTGGAAACTCATCAGAATCTAGGCTGGATCTCAGGTGGGACAGTAAAAGCAAGCCGAGCATCTCTTCTCTATCCAAGCTGTAAGGTCTCTCAAAATATGACAGCCTAAAGTGACATCTATTACCAGTCTTGCTGTGGTCAAGTCTAGTAATAGATGGCACTTTCTGCTGTCTTATTTCGATTGACTCTCCAAATCTTGTTTGGCTTTCTGATAATGTTTGGTCTTTCTGACAAGACCAAAATGTGTCCAAAGGACTCAAACACTTAAGATATTTTAGCAATATTAGACATTGCGTTCAAAATATCATAAGATACTCAACATATGTGAGTAATTGGTGAAATTTATACGAATTCATGGGAAATACCAAGTCAACCTTCTTGACTTCATTTTTAACTGGTACACTGGCACGCAAAATTAACCAGACAAACTTTTACAGACGAGTCTCGTTTTATGAGATATTCCCCTGATCGTCGCCAAAGAGTGTGGAGAACGCTATGCTCAAAGTTGTTTTGCTCCTAGAGTTCAATTTGGTGGTGGAGGTATTTCTTTGGAATCCCGCACAGATCTTGTTTCACTACGAGGAGGACACCTTATTGCCGACAGGTACATTGGAGAGTGTTTGGAAGAACATGTGGTTCTCCTCATATGCCCTTTATAGGAGAAAGTTTTGCAAGATAATGCTCGGCCGCATATAGCTAGAATGACTATGCAATACCTCAACGCCAAGGAGTCCGGATCTCAACCCCATTGAGCACATGTTGGATAAATTAGGAAGAAGGCTCAAGCAGAACTAAGGAGAATTTCAAACTGTGGCAAAATTAACGAAATTGATACAAAGGTTAACAAGTTATTTCAAATTTAATTTGAACAAAATTATTTTGTTTGTCCGGTTAATTTTGCATGGCAGTGTGTATTCCATGTGATCGCAGCTTTCTTTAAATGTGCCTCAAGTCCCGTGTCCAGAACAACTACATCACAGACATGTAACCAGAGATATGCAATTGACACCTAGAGCCAGGAATCTATATAGTGTTCCATGAGTGAAATGCTAGGTAGTATGGACCGAGACGGAAATACAAAGCAATTCACGCTAAATCGCTAATATCACATACCTCAGTCACTATAGACTGATCTTGATGAAATTTTGCACAATATCTATATATATGTTACTTACTTACCTAAAACTAGTCGGAAGATTAAAAATTCAAGGCGCGATTCATTTTTTATTTTTTAAATTTTAATAATAAAAATAATGATATTTAATGATGTTGGGCATGCAAAAGCATTCACATACGTCAAAAAGGAAAAACTTCCAATGAACAAAAAAGTAAACACTCACCATTAATACTAAATAAAACAAACCGAACACATTCAAAAGATAAAAATAATACTGACAAGTTCAAATCACACGTAATTATACTAAAATATATAAAAAAAGATAAAATATAATCATTGTATATGTCACTGAAGTCATTGACTAGAGAACTATCAATACTATAAAAAGCTTCCTGCTTTAGATATGGTGACAGTGTAGTCTGGACCCAAATAGCACAAAGACGTCTCAAAGATGTGTTTAGGACGTCCGATCTCAACTTTCGAGACACCTTAAAGACGTTTGCAAAAGTCTAACAGACGTCTTTTAGAGACCGGTTGTTACTAATTAGAACGTCTTTAAGACATGTTGTTTTGGTCTATTGTTCTTAAACTGGCGTTCGAGACATAACATGGACGTCTCGGATGCGTTTAGGGACGTCTCGTAGGCGTCATACAGTTGTCTCTCTGGCGTCATAGGAACACCTTGCCTATAATCCTTCACAGACATATACAAAGCTCTTTACAGCCACAACTGGATGGATTCTTCTGTTTGGTTTCTCAGGACTCCCACCTTAGCGTTTTCTGCAGCACCTGCAGTAAGTTTATTAGCCTGAAAATATAAAAGCATCCGAGAAAAATACCAAATATTATTATATACTTGTTTAAAAATGGTTACATTGCTTTTAATGGAACAATGAAAGTGAAACAGTGACTTTTGGTCCATATTTGATCAAGAATATTGTAAAAGTTGCAGTAGCTTTGAGATAACAGTTTAGAACAAATGACAAAACATGGTAATAGCAATCCAACCGACAGTAGATAGACAATGATCTATCTGAAATAATAGATATTAATAAAGAGTGTTTGTTGCTGGCTACTACAAATGAGAGGCAAATTATGTTGTTCTACAAGACATCTTTTGAATTTTAATACAGTTTCCATGATGTCACCAAAAATGATTTATTTGTCCACAGTTCATTTGAAGAATAAAAATGAATACAGTAAAGACTCTTGACTTCATTCCATGCGCTAGAATTACTCAATCACCTATAATCCTATGAAATGGTTTATATAATGATTTTGAAAAAATATAACTTTTTTCTCCAAATTCGAAGTAGCTGAAAAATATTCCAGACATATTAATTATTAAAACATCTCTGCAAATTCCTTGTTTCAAACTTTTGGTTTAGAGCTGTAGTGCGGAACATAAAAATGCAAATGATAAGCTATGCCAAATTTGTGTCCTAAAATGGCCTCTTGCCTTTTCTTCTCATCCAGCTGAATATAAGGCCCTGTTCATTTGGTACCATAGCAGATATCACTCTTTTTACAGAACTGTAATTGTTTTATCCACCAATATGAGCAAGTTCTTCCATCTGAAAAAACAACTAGTTTACTAAATTGACACATTTGCTGCATCAAAAGATGTCGTCAGAATACTCAACAAATCTTTCACTGATGTATTAGAAATTCGATGGTTTACAGCCCATTCAGATAACATAAAGTTAACTGTTCCAGATTGAGGAACTGTTGCATATGACGAGGCAGATGCACCAGATTTTTGTTCAAGATCACCAGTCGTGTTTGTATGATATGTTTTGGTAGGCCTGAATATCCCTTATATCGAACTATAGTTGATTTTAGATAGGTTCATTCTGGTCTGTTGGATTACCGGTATCATTTTCAATAACAATAGAGTTTCCTTTTGCATCAGATCCTGTATCATGATGTATTTTCTCATATAAATCATAATTAAACCGCTTACCACGCACGTAATACTTTTTCAGGGAGGGGGGCGGGGTTTATAGTGTAGGAAGCTTATTACTTTTAACTTGCCGCAGCACTCACAAATCAACAATAAATTTACCTTCTTCATATCATCATCATGACATTCGCATTCCTGCTGAATTGATTGCCGCCCTACTTGGGCTCTTCTGGTTTCTTAGAATCGGGGAATCAAGCTGCATATTCTCGTTGCTTTTCTTCTACAACTGTTCATGTGACTTGGCCGAATTCACAACATGTCTCCATTCTTTTCTGTTCTTGCTGAGTTCCAGTTTCTGATCCCTAATGTTTCTATGTCTATTCTGACTTGATCGTCCCATCTCACTTTTGGTCTTCCTCTTGATCTAGCTCCCGCAGGTTTCTTAATCAGTGAATCATTACCTCTCCTTTCAATTTGTCCTGCCCACCTTAATCTTTGGGATTTGATAAATCTTACTATGTCTTCTTGATTCAAAATAGTCATAATCTCTTCATTTCTTAGTGGTCGAAGTCCTTCGTTATTATCCTTTCACTAGTCCCATTATCCTGCGTATGATCTTGCGCTCTAGTACTCGTAATTTCTCTTGGTCTTTCATTGTAAGGCACATGGTAATGTAATGGTATTTGCTCCGTATGTAATAACTAGCCTGATTGCAACCTTATATACGTATATTCTGACTTTGGTTTTTTACTTATGTTTTTGTCCTTCAGTAGCCTGTAAAATTTCCAGTACGATCTGTTACCCGCGCGTAATCGTTCTGTGATTTCCGCTGCCCTCTCGTTCCTGTCGGTCACTAATGCTCCTAAGTATTTAAATTTGAACACTTTCAAAACGGTACTCCCCGATGTTAATTTCTTTGATGTTGCCCTTCTTTCCTCTCGTTACCATTAAGAATTGTTTATATAGGACCACAAATCTAACCTTTAACGAAGATAAGCTTGTAAAACCACAAAACATAATTATACGCTGTATGTAAAACGCGTATACGAAAATGGCGTCCATGTCTACCGTCCGTTCGCATTTGGTCTTCCGGAAACAGATGACATACAAAATCACCAGAGTACAGTCCAAAAATTCCCTTGATTTAAACTTAATATAGTTGTATGAAAGTATGAAGAATTCGAAGAAATACGTTTTTTATACCTACCTGTAACTACCATCCAAAGTTACTCACATATTTACCGTTCACGAACAATCACGGAAAATAAAATACGTCCTAAGAATGTCTCATGGACGTCTTATGTTTAGAGAAGTCATTCTGATTAAACAATGAAGTGAATGTTTTGTACTAATTACTGTAACAACCGCTGTATTTGACACAGTGAACGATTCGTAGTTTTCCTCAGAGACACCTATGTATAGCATATAAGATGCCCGGAAAGTGCTATTTGCGAACGTCTTACAGCGGCTCTTTGTGCTATTGGAAATTCATCATTACTGTGCCTTTGGCCCAGTTGGTAAGTCTCAAAGATGTTTTAGAGACCATAAATGCAGATATCTTATACAGGTCTCCGAGAACACCTTCCGGAACATCTGAGCCCATATGATTTCTGAAGATTCATATGAAAAACCTTTTAGACGTTATCAGTAAGCCTTATTTACTGAATGTTTGTACTTAAAATCTATGTCTACGTAACATAGATGTCTTTTGCAGGTCTAAGGAAAGACGTCCTTCAAACTGCGACGTACAGACCTATTTCGGGCCTGAAATGGACGTTCCTAAGACGTCATGTGCTATCTGATTCAGGAAAAGCATTTTTTGTATTCTACCAAAATCAACACCTTTCAAGCTAAATATTGAAATGTTGTTAGTCAAATTTTATCTATCCGAATAATTTAGTTCTACTAAATGCTGTTTCTCTTTAAGGCTGATCTGAGTCAGAGTATAAGTGAAATACAAACAAATAAAATAACAAAAAAATGAATCCGGTCATGAAGATTTTAATTCCCAAAACATCTGTTATTTGAATAAATTATAATTTTTAACGAAAGAAACAATAAGAGGCGCAATTAGTCTTTTATGCTAATTTTTAAGCACCATTCAATGGCGTTTTTGTTAATACATAATCAAACCTTTCAATATTTAGCTTAAAATATGTTAATTTTGATGGAATACGAAAAAGTTGGAAAAACGAGTCTGGTCCTGATTTTTTAATATTCTGACTAGTTTTTCGATACACCTAGGAAAATTGGTTTAGTAGTGCTTGCGGTAGGCGACATTAAAGAATTCGCGTGCTTACATAAATATCTCTGAAATCGGCATAAATTCAATTCAGAACTTTTTATTTTCAGGTCTCCGTCCATACTACCTACCTTTTCACCATGTAAACAAATCAACAACCTTCCTTGGTCTCCTAGATCCCCAGACTGTTAGCCGTGAGTAGAATATGATGGGAAAAAGAATGACCTCTTTACCTCATCCTTAACCAACACATAGCAACCCTTTGGATCAATTGAAGCTAGCTTGGGATAAGGTACCTCGAGAAGCATGCATCGACTACTGGAAGAATGTATATGGAATCAGGGTGCCCCATAGAAATCTATCTATGCCATAGATATTTTCACTTGAATATTTAATCACAGTTTGCTCTTGCTCATGTTTAGCTGTATACCAAATATGCTGCCCAGGATACAAGCGATTCAGTGGTAAGTACAATCTACACACACATAAGTTTGGGTGCACTTGTCAACTACTGCAAGACCAACAATGTAGTCGAAAAAATAAAAAAACGTATTGGACATTTAATGGGGCTGATTTGCAAATTAAATATTTGAAAAGAATGTTCGTTTTTTATTTTAGAAATCTCGAGGTTCGTTCAACAAAAGCCGAAAATATTATCAACAAATGTAAATTTCTTTCCATCTCTCATTTTTCCTGGATTCGAACATCTTAAAACAAGCGAACCAAGATGCACTAGAAATTTTTTCGGTAGTATACGTCGTAGTCGCAATCATGAAAGTCCTACGCAAGTTTAGTTTGGGTTAGCTTATAGAAAACTATTTTTGCTGACAATATCTGCACACCGATACGTCCAATTGCAGGGACGATTTTTCTGAATTACTTACACCATTGAAAATCAGTGTAGCAAAATATTTACCTGACGATCGTTAATCCCGTCCAAAACAGTAATGCTGTTCAATACCTAGATTATAGGAAACGGAGCCTCCCCACCCAAAATGCATTCACATATGTATGCGGATCCTTGCTCCAAAAATGCTTGGAATTACACATTCGTGTTATCTGCGAGTAATTTTCTAATTATTAGGATACTTTAGAAAGTAACCGCTTACATATTCATTTCAACAACTTTCAAAATGATAGCAATTACAATCACCACCTGAAGCTTTCTTGTTGTTTATTTTTCAGCTGGAAACAATATTTGTTGCTAATGTAAATAAATTAGGCTTGGTTCAAGGCATTTCAAACAAGTATCTTGACATGAAAAATATACAATTTATAGTTTCCAAAAGTTGTGAAATTAATAAATTTATAAGATTAGGAATATTTTATTCTTTAAATTTTGCTATTAGGCGGGACAAGTGGTGGTAAGAAGAACAGAAAGATTGTCATTATGCCGCACTTATAGTTATTCAAGGAAACTTACAATTTTATAAATATGGTGGGATTACATAGTTTTGTATAGGTATAGTACATTAGATTGAAGTACCTAGCTGATGTAATACCTGTATGTGCTCGAGATTAAAAGTTCAATTGTATGTGAATTAAGCAAATATTAACAATATGCATTAGTGTATAATCAGTAACTTCTACGTCAAATATATCTGAAATTATTGAGTAATTTTGGGTAACATTCTAACAAATTCATAAATTGAATATATATAGGGTGTTTGGAGGGTGAGTA